TGCGACGGCTTCCTGCAACCCTCTGCCAGTGAAAATGGAGCTCAGAGGGCCATGTGTGGCCCTCCTGAGCTCCGTTTTCACTGGCAGAGCACTTAGGCCACCACAGGTGCCTCCAACATGGGTGACAATGAGCTGGCCCTGCCCACCTGGCCCTGCCCCCTCCCCCCGAGGTCAAACACAACCCTGATGTGGCCCTCAATGAAATTGAGTTTGATGCCCCTGGACTAGAAGATATCCAAGGTATCTTCCTATTCTTATTATGTAATTCTGTATAATAATAAGGATATCAACTACTGACAGTGTTTCCTCTGTCGCTGCTGGACAGCCATCAGTTATAGTAATGTCATAAAATGCTTCTGCAGCATTTGAAATCAAAACTAAAATGCGATCCAAAATGACAGAAATGCCTCTAATATTCCTTTTTCACAGAGTAAGTATCAACATTATTTATTATATTTCTCTTTTTTCCATTTTGGAACTGAAAGTGGTACTCAGATATCTACCCTCCAGATATTAATTACAAATTTGCTAGCTTAATCAAGAAGGTGCATCATATAAACTCAGGACCCATTACATGGGACTTAAAAGTATTTCAGTATGCTCCTCATATTGTATGACTATTGTTAAAGTTTGCTTTAAAAATCAATAGATTTCATATAAAGTATCAACAAGGAGGTAGAAATTTATATTATTTATGAAACAATTTTAAAAAAATATTTCATCAACTAGATCCAACTGGATTAATTCATGAATTAAGTCTGAATCATCTTAGATCCAGGCATTTCCCTGGCTGTAACAGCTAGAGGGCACCTACATACCAGAAATGGTGTTTTAAAATGAATTATTTTAAAAGGAGTTAAGGAATTGCCAAAAGAAAATAAAGGATTGCAGGCTATATAAATTAGCATTTTTAAAATTAACTCTTTGACTATCTTCAGAGCTGAAGATGAAAAGTAACCACCCATATTTCTAGGGCAGAAATCTTATAGTCCCTACATTCCTAGTAACTATACTATTCATAGGATTTGTCCCCTGAAGATCTGAAAGTGACTCTTCCCCCACCCACATGCCTTCAGAACTTATTCTACTCTCTTCCCTTCTCCTCCCCTCTCCTCTTCTTTATAGCAGTGTCCAGCTTCTCGATGGCCCTTTCCTCCATTCATTTATTCAGCCAGTTATCGGAAATGACTTCTTTCAGGAAGATTATAACAGTTCAAGAGCAAAATATATTTTACTTGTGGTGCATGAAAGCCACAGTCATTTTTAAAAACAAAAGCACCCGAGGAAAAACTGAATGTTTAAGGGAAGTAATTCCAGGAAGCCAAATTGAACAATGCATTAATTCTACTGCTGAGTGCAATTAAAGTGGCAAGATAATTGGGGTGTGTAGATCTCTCTATTGAGTTCATCTCAGTATCTTGCAGGAGCTGGAGAAATTCTTCAGCTTCCAAGTCTACATCTGTTTTCTTAATTCAGGAAAAAAAGACATACTAAAAGTGATAAGATAGACCGTATTTGCCGGCGTATAAGATGACTTTTTTGCCCTGAAAAAGATGCCTCCAATTGGGGGGGTCGTCTTATATGCCGGGTCGTCTTATACGCCGGCAAATAGTAATTGGGAAGCATTGCGGCTGCCCGCGGCTGAGGCACTTTTGCGCACCGTGGAAACGAATCCCGTGAAGCCGAAAGGAGCAGCCAGCCTTCTCCCAGCTCCCAAGGAAACGAGGCTCGCACCGCCCGAGCTCCGCTGAGGTATCCGGCTGGGGCTGTCAGGAGTTGTTACCGCTGGCGCGGCTCCGCGCGGCTCCAGTCCCGCGTTGCCTCGGGAAGGGAAAGGCAAAAAGGAAGAGCCGCGGCAATGGTTTTGCCTTTCCCTTCCCGAGGCAACGGGACTGGAGCCGCGCGGAACCCAGCCGGATACCTCAGCGGAGCTCGGGCGGTGCGAGCCTCGTTTCCTTGGGAGCTGGGAGAAGGCTGGCTGCTCCTTTCGGCTTCACGGGATTCGTTTCCACGGTGCACAAAAGTGCCTCAAAAAAAAAAAAAAGTGCAAAAGTGGAAGGCGTGCGGAAGAGGGGGCGAGTATATAACAAACTATATTTTGAGTGGAAATGTTGGGGGGTCGTCTTATACGCCGGGTCGTCTTATACGCCGGCATATACGGTACATAGTATAGGAAAAAGTGGGGAGGGAGACATCCAGTGAAGAAATGGAGAAAAAGGAATATGTTGCATAATTACAATTCAAATATGACATTTTTGGTATAACACGATGTTGATGGATTTAAAAGGATATTAACCAAAGTCATACAGGATTACCTATCATCTTCCATCACTTTTTGCCTGAGGGCTTCCTACTGTTGATGGTGCTATAGTTACTTAACAGATAATCAGAGTTGGAAGGGACCTTGTAGGTCATCTAGTCCAGGGGTCCCCAACCACCGGTCCGCGGACTGGTACCGGTCCGCGGAACAAGTCCTACCGGGCCGCTGGCTTGCTGGGCGCCGCCATCTTTTTTTGATGAAAAAGTGCTTCCGGTGAGCTTTTCCGGGTAGAAAGCTCACCGGAAGCACGTTTTCATCAAAAAAAGATGGTGGCGCCAGCGATTCCGGTGAGCTTTTCCGGGTAGAAAGCCATTTCTACCCGGAAAAGCTCACCGGAAGCGCTGGCACCGCCATCTTTTTTTGATGAAAAAGTGCTTCCGGTGAGGTCACCGGAAGCACTTTTTCATCAAAAAAAGATGGCGGCGCCCAGCTGATGCCGGTACCAGGCCGCGGTGCCCAGCTGATGCTGGTACCGGGCCGCGGCGTAAAAAAGGTTGGGGATCACTGATCTAGTCCAATCCCGCACCCACCCAAGCCATTTCTGACAAATGGCAGTCCAATCTCTTCTTGAAAGTCTCAAGTGATGATGTTCCCACAACTTCTGAGGGCAAGCTCTTCCATTGGTTGATTGTTCACTGTCAGAAAGTTTCTCCTTATTTTCAGGTTAAATCTCTCCCTGTTCAGTTTCCATCCATTAATCCTTGTCTGGCCTACAGGTGCTTTAGAAAATAGCTTGACCCCTTCCTCTCTCTGGCAGCCCCTCAAATATTGGAACACTATTAGATAGGCCCAAACTTGGATAAGCAAAAATTACATGTTTGTAATTTCTGACATCAAACTAGAAAACAGCTATAGTTTAAAAAAATGCTTATACTTGTGGAATTACTAATCTTTCACACCTCTTCTCATCAATATTCTGTAATTAAAATAAGTTCTAGCTATTCTATAACATATACACAGTTGTTTCTCAATTTCACATGTTCCACTTCCTGGGAACATGGCTAACTCAACAAACGCCTAGGGAGAGATCTCCGATAGATTGAAAGTTGTGATTTTAGTTTACTATTTGTTCTGTACAAGTCAATTTACATACTCGTAGCCCCGCGTCGCGATTGGTTAAGGCGCGCGGCGACCGGATTGGTCGAGCGAGCCGCACTGATTGGTCCGCTGCGAATCCCCCGCGATTGGTGGAAACTAATCGCGGGAGATTCGAAGCGGTGCCATTGGCCGCGACCGCCGCGGCTCGAGAATAAAAAGCCGCAGTTTTTCCCTTCAAGCTTAAGCTGTATCAGGAGCCAATAAAGAGCTGAAACCAAGTCACTGACTCCGAGCTTCCTTTCTCGACGGACACAACACTGGCGACGAAGGTGGGATCCAGAGAATAACCACCGAGCACGTGTCCCGAGGAAGACAAAGGACCGACGAGATGGCCAGCATGACCCCACCAGCACCCTTCAACCCCGCTACCGAGGACTGGGAATCGTACACGGATAGATTCCTGATGTTCCTCGAAAGTAGCAATTTGAAGGATGCGAACGGGCAGAAGAAAAGGGCCGTCTTCCTCACACACTGCGGGCCCGCAGTGTTTAAGATGGCCAAAGCCCTCGCGAAGCCAGAGGACGTGAAGGCGATGGACTGGGCCGATCTCGAGCCACTCCTTCGGAACCACTACGCCCCCGCTGTGCCCATCCTCATCCGGCGGGATGAGTTCTATCGGCGAAACCAGCGGCAGGACGAGAGCATTAGCGACTTTATAGCCGCCTTGCGAGACCTAGGGGGGATGTGCGAGTTCAGGGACCTGGACGATGTCCTCCGAGACCGCGTGGTCCTAGGCCTCAGGGATCAGGCACTAAAAAGTCGACTGATGGCGAAAGGCAACATCGACCTCGGGGACGCCCTGGCCGAAGCTTCCGCAGCCGAAGCCACCCGGAAGTCAGCAGCCAGACTTCGGAGGGCAGACAACGGGGACCACACTGAAACCCCCGAGACAAGCCGACGAGAAACCACCACACACCACGGGGACCTGGACTCCGCCTCCGATACCACGGACGAGGAGGAAGACGTCCACCGACTACAAACAGGACGGGACCGGCGAGATCAACGGGGTCGTAAGTCGGGAAACCAGTGCGCCGGGTGCGGGGGAAACCACTTTCGATCCGAGTGCCGTTTTATCGACGCGATCTGCCGGCAGTGCAACAAGAAGGGCCACATCGCCCGAGTCTGCCGACTCAAAAAGACACACAGCCCCCGCCGGCGAGAACCAAGCAACCGGGGACGAGACGACACCCCCCCGAGAACCAGAGATCGCCAAGCCGACTATCGCTGGAACCGAGGACGACGGAGCGGGGAAGGCCGACAGAGAGAAGAAACCCACCAGACGGTCACCATCGGCCATGCCGAAACCACGGATGCCCGGAAGGTCTACGTGGATGTGAGCATCGAGGGCGAGCCATGCCGGATGGAGGTAGACTCCGGATCCTACCTCTCCATGGTCGCCTGGAAAGAACTCAAGCGCCTGGTGCCAAACATCCAGAAAAGAGGACTGGAGAACCAGAAACTGATCATCAAGGACTATCAGGGGAACCGCATCCCCGTCATTGGGACCGGACAGTTCGTGGAGACTTTCAAAAACCGCACCGCGAAACTTCCCCTGACTATCGTGGACCGGAACCGACCCAGCCTTTTAGGACTCCAATGGTTCGCGCCACTCGGGATCGAGGTCACGGGAGTAAACCACACCACAGAGGCCGACTGGGAGCAGCAGCTGGCGAGGGACTTCCAAGAAGTATTCGACGGCACCCTAGGCAAGTACAAAGGGCCCCCTATCTCTTTTAGCCTAGACCCAAATGTCGCCCCCATACGCCTAAAACCCAGACGGGTGCCTTTTGCACTCCGGAAGAAAATAGACGAGCAGATTGACAAACTCGTCAAACAGGGGGTTTTGCAGCCAATCGACCACGCCCGGTGGGAGACCCCTATAGTCACCCCAGTCAAACCAGATGGGTCAGTAAGGATCTGCGGGGACTATAAGGCCACCCTCAATTGCGCCCTGCAACAAAGCGCCTACCCCGTCCCAGTAGTGCAACACCTATTACACTCGCTGGGGGGGGGCAAGGTCTTTGCGAAGCTCGACCTGGCGCAAGCCTATCAGCAACTGCCAGTCGATGAAGAAACCGCCGAGGCGCAAACAATAGTCACCCACCGGGGAGCGTTTCGTTGTAACCGACTCCAGTTTGGAGTCAGCGTAGCCCCAGGAATTTTCCAGAGCCTCATGGAGAGACTGCTGCGAGGAATCAAGGGAGTGGTTCCCTATTTTGACGATGTATTGGTGTCAGCAGCCAACCAGGAGGAACTAGAGGGTCGCCTAAGGGAGGTACTAGAAAAATTCAAAGGGGCCGGGCTAAAGGTGAAGAAAGAGAAATGCCAGCTATACACAGAGCAAGTCGAGTTTCTGGGGTACCTCCTAGACCGACATGGCATCCACCCAACCGGAAGCAAGGTCAAAGCCATAAAGGAAGCCCCCACACCCAAGAACAAAACAGAGCTGCAGGCATTTCTGGGACTGCTAAATTTTTACAATGTGTTCTTGCCCCAAAAGGCGACCGCGGCGGAGCCTTTGCATAGGCTCCTGGACAGGACGGCCAAATGGACCTGGGGGAAACGGGAGGACACCGCATTCAAGAATACCAAAGACCTGCTCACCTCGGATGCCGTTCTCATTCAGTATAATGAGACCCTACCCATCGCCGTCACATGCGACGCCTCACCATTTGGCGTCGGCGCTGTCCTCAGCCATACACTCCCAGACGGAAAAGAAGCACCCATCGCTTTCTTTTCAAGAACACTCAGCAAACCCGAAAGAAACTACAGCCAATTAGATAAGGAGGCACTGGCCATCGTCGCAGCAGTAAAGAAGTTCCACGAGTACCTCTACGGCCGCCGATTCACCCTCATCACGGACCACAAGCCGCTGCTAGGCATCCTGGCGGGGAACAAGGCCACCCCGAACATCCTATCCCCCAAGATGACAAGGTGGTCTGAGTTCCTCGCCGCCTACGACTACCGGCTCACACACAGACCGGGTAAGACGATCTCCCATGCAGACGCGTTGAGCCGCTCGCCGCTTCCCGACCTAGACGACGATCCAGCTCCCACGACGACCACCCTCAGCATAGAGACATTGCCGGACCTACCCATAACCGCGTCAGACATTGCCCGAGAGACTAATAAAGACAAGCGTCTGGCGCGGGTATTACATTGGGTAGCAAAGGGATGGCCAGAGAAAGACAGCGATGATGCATTCAGGACATTCCGAAACCGGCAAACAGAACTGTCACTACAGAAAGGTTGTTTGTTATGGGGGGACAGGGTGGTCATACCGGAAAAACTGCAAGGGAAGGTATTACAATTATTACACGAAGGGCACCCGGGGATTGTGAGGACTAAAGCTTTAGCCAGAAGCTATGCTTGGTGGCCAGGTATGGACAAGGAGATCGAGGCCTGGGTAGCCAAGTGCTCGCGCTGCCAAGAAACCAGACCAAATCCCCCCGCAGCACCAATTTTAGAATGGGAAACGCCCAGGGGACCATGGTCGAGACTCCATATAGACCTTGCCGGGCCCACAAAAGGGAACACATTCCTCATCACGGTGGATGCTTACTCCAACTGGCTGGAGGTAAGCAACATGAAGACCACCACAACAGATGCAGTAACCAAGGTCTTAAACAAACTCTTCGCAACCCACGGTCTCCCGGATGTCATCGTGTCAGACAACGGACCCCAGTTCACCTCGCTGGAATTCGAAAGATTCCTAGCGGAACGAGGCATACGACACGCACTGACAGCGACGGCGCATCCGGCGGCCAATGGTAGAGCAGAACGGATGGTTCAATTTACAAAAAGAACCCTCCAAAAGATCGAACACGGGGACATACAAGAAAAAATAAATAAAATGCTCCTAATACAACATATCACCCCTAACACAACGACTAACAAAAGCCCGGCAGAATTACTAATGGGGAGAAAACTAAGGTCACCACTCGACAGACTACACCCCACATACAACCCGGAAAAACCCCCGGACTCATCTAGCAAGCACCGGGTTTTTGCACCAGGCGACGCAGTCTATGCAAAAAACCTTACCGGAGACCCACTATGGGTACCGGCAACTATAACCCAACTGACAGGACCCCACTCCTACCGGCTACAGACAACCGACGGACAAACATGGAAACGCCACATCGATCAAATAAGATCAAGAACAAAAAACACAACCGACACGCAACCAAACACAGACGACACCGATAACACAAACCAAGAGGGGAGGGAAGACACAGAGGATCAAATAGGAAATAACCAGCAATACTCACCAGTCAACAGCCAGCCCGAAGTCTCACCAGGAAGGAACAGCCAGGCCAGCTCAACCAGCCCGGAAAGACCAGGCAGGAGCGGCGAAAGTCGCAGCTCGACCAACCCGGGTAGACCGGGAGGGAGCTGCAACAAGAGGCCCAGCGACACCTTCCAGGGGGTTCCATCGACAGGGCCAAGAGAAACAGAAGTCCCGACCGAACCGGCCGGGAACCAAACAACAACTAAGCTGCGCAAGTCAAGTAGACAAGTACGAAGCCCCGCCTACCTACGGGACTACGTTACGTAGGACCGAACCAAGAGGGGAGGGGTGTTCTGTACAAGTCAATTTACATACTCGTAGCCCCGCGTCGCGATTGGTTAAGGCGCGCGGCGACCGGATTGGTCGAGCGAGCCGCACTGATTGGTCCGCTGCGAATCCCCCGCGATTGGTGGAAACTAATCGCGGGAGATTCGAAGCGGTGCCATTGGCCGCGACCGCCGCGGCTCGAGAATAAAAAGCCGCAGTTTTTCCCTTCAAGCTTAAGCTGTATCAGGAGCCAATAAAGAGCTGAAACCAAGTCACTGACTCCGAGCTTCCTTTCTCGACGGACACAACACTATTGTAGTAACTGGTAGCTTGATCTTAACTGTAGATGGCTAAAATCTTCTGATTTTTATTAAAAGAGGAAGCCAAGATGGTGGAGCAAAGCATTAGATATATATTTGAAAGGTCTCTAAATAAAATATGTCAATTTGTTGACCGGTTGTTTTCTGATGATAAAAAATCCTCTCAAATTACTTCTGAGATGCAAACATGTGGAGAATGTTACCAAACTGCTGAGGTAACTTCACAATTAGCTGAAAATGCTGAGGAGTTTATCACAGTTTTTGGAAGAACTGGATATTAACTTTCATTACTATGGTTCAAATGTAAACCTCTCAACACAACTGAAAGAAGACTGTCAAGAAAAAAGACAAATTTGGGGCTTTTTCTTAAAGGACATTAACAAGATTGAGGATCTCATGATAAAAAGAAAGGCCTATAATCTTTAATAAAACTTCCAGAGAGGAAACATATTTTACTCCATGAAGATAAGCTTAAACTTAATGAATTAACAGGAATTGGGATGCATTTTTCTCTGCTTGATATGTGCAACTGAAAGAAAAGTTTAACCCAAAATTTGAAAATGTATTTTTTTTACATATATATTAAGTAATTCTTAAAGTAAGCAAAAGATATTGAAAATGTATTTGAGAACACTTGTATTAAGAGAAAGGTAAATAAAATGATGTACCAGTTTAAAGAAAAAATCTGTATGTTAAAAAGGATGTTTATAAAAGAAAAAATATTCTATAAGGGTAGTTTGGAGGGAGGGATCTAAATGCAATACTGAAGTTTAAAGTTTGTATGTTAAGAAGTCAAAGAAAAAGATGTTATTGGAAAGTTTTGATTTTTTTTTAAAGTGATTTTTTTAAAAAGTTTAGTATTTTGAAGGGAAAAAAGGGTGAAAAAAATTTTTCCCCCTTTTTTTCAGTAAGGTCAAAGAATTTGAAATAAATTTTGTAAATAAAAATGGTGACAATTCACAAAGATTACTAGGCGCAAATAAAAATGCACACCATTTCTATAGCAAGGAAGATAAATCAGGAATGGTTAAATTGATTTATTTTATTTAAAGAGGAAAATATGTTCTTATTTGGATATCACTTCTGGAATTTGTGTCTGTGAAGAAAAAAAATGAAACTTTTACTTTGGTTTTGTTGATTAGAAAGATTTGTTGTTATAGAAATGGCTAGTTATATATTAATGTGTAAAAGCAAAAAGTTGAGGTTGGAGTGTGTTTATCTTGTACTATGCTAAGAGTTGGAAGTCAATGCTTCTTTTCTTTCTTTTTCTCTTTCCCCTTGTACCTCGCACCCCCTTTTCCCTGCTCCTTTCCCTCCCTTAATTTCCTATTTTCTTTTCTTTGTATTTTATACAATAAAATAAATATGATAAATTATTTTTTAAAATCACATCATAAGAACACACAAGGAGAACTGTATGAAGGTGATACAATGTCAGTTTATGACTCATTAGAGAAGTATACAGGTAAGATACCCATGGTTCATAACTCTTTGCTAAGCATTATTTCAACAGCATGAGTAATGCTTGTGCTAAGAATTATGGAAGTTTAAAACCAATACATCTTGAAGACACCAGCTTAGGAAAAACAATAAATATGTTCTGCAACTTGTATAAGAAAAATCTATTTGTGAAGAAGAGTTTCAAAAGAATAAAATTAAAATATGACATTGTTTAAATCACTTGACCAGTCTATATTTTTATTTCTCATTAACAAATTTGCCATGTTTTATAAAACATAAATATATAAAGAAGGGTTTTCTCCAACTAGTTGGTTCTTCAAGAAGGCTGATCATTGTAACTGAATTTATGTACTATACGGAAAGCCTCCAGAAATTCATTGAAGTCAATGCTACCGTCTTTATTAAAATCCATGGTGCGAGCTAAACTGTCAATGGATTCATCACTCACATCATTCTTCACATGTGCATTGAAGAGTTTCCATGTTTGGCGAAATTCATCAGCAGAAATAAGGCCTAAACAAAGGGGAAACTAGTGTTATAAAAAGCACTGTGAATTTACATAAAAGGTCTATATACTGTATGTTAGTTCTGTATGAGAATGCACTTAGAAATGGGGAATCTGAAGAAAACAATGTAGAACTTGAAGCTACATCAGTTGTACATGTTACTGGTTTATGCCTAGTGTGATTTCAAAAGCTGGTTTTAGACTTTAAAAGTATAAAAAGCATAGGACCTTAGCACTGTAGCAATAGCACTTAGACTTATATACTGTTTCATGGTGCTTTACAGCTGTCCCAAGCGGTTTACAGTGTCAGCATATTACCTCTAACAATCTGGCTTCTCATTTTACCAACCTCAGAAGGATGGAAGGCTGAGTCAAACTTGAGCCGGTAAGACTTGAACTGCTGGCAACCAGCAGTCAGCAGAAGTAGTCTGCTGTAGTGAGGCCACATAATTGCAATCTAGTCCAATCCAGTCCTCCTGCAGCACTCTGCCAGCTGAAAATGGGCCATGCAGAGCAGAGGTGGTATTCAGCGGGTTCTGACCAATTCTGGAGAATCGGTAGCAGAAATTTTTAGAAGTTCGGAGAACCGGCAAATACCACCTCTGACTGGCCCCACCCCCATCTATTCTCTGCCACCCACTCAGCTGATCGGCTGGGTCTTCTTTTGTTGCCCTGCACAGGAGAACAGAGCTGGAAAGCAGGTTAGTGGGGTGGGGAGGGAATGGGAGTTTGCAGTAACCTCCTGGAGTGGTGAGACAGCTTCCTTCAGCTGCTGGTTGAAAACATGCCGCCCCCACTCAGCCAGTTTTTGGCCACCCCGGCATCCAGTACTTGGCCAGCTGAAAACATTTTTGGCCAGCAGAGTGCTAGTAGAGGCTGGAGAGGCCATGAGGCCCCTGGCTGGCCTGTTTTCAGCCAGCAGCTGCTGTTGAGGCCAAAAATGGACCACGGAAGGGCTATTTGGCCAGCAGAGTGCTGCTGGAGGATGGGGAGGCCAAAAACGGGCCATGTAGGGGCATCGCAGGGCCTTCGCAGGGCCCGTTTTCAACCAGCAGAATACTGCAGGAGGTCACTGAGGCATGAGGCCAGCAGAGGCACCACCGGTCAATCCTTTAATATTTCCAGGCTGGCGCTGTAGGCCAGATTTAAGTACCCCTGCATTATATATAAAAGATCACTAAAGAAATACATAAAACCAAGAATAAAAACCTCCTGGAATCCATATGAGTCAATATAAAAGGGAAAAAATGACATTGCTATAGGCATATACTACAGGCCACTCAACCAAGCAGAAGAAATAGATGAACTCTTTGCTAATCAATTAACAAATGTATGTAGGAAACATACCACAGTAATAATGGGAGACTTTAACTATCCTGATATCAACTGGGAGACAAACTCTGCAGCAAGTGGGAGATAGAACAGATTCCTAAACAACTTAGCTGACAACTTGGTCATCCAAAAGGTAAAGGAGGGAACTAGAGGAAAAGCTACACTGGACCTAATTCCTATTAATAAAGAAGAAGAGATAGAGGGAGTTGAAGTAGCCAGAACCTTGGGCGAGAGTGACCATGTCATAGTGGAATTCAATATAATACAAATACAAGCAATAGAATATAATCCAACCAGTGTCTTAACCTTTACAAGAGCTAATTTTAACGAACTCAGAGAGAGCCTAAGCAAAATTTAATGGATAAAAAATCCATGAGGGGAAAACAATTCAAGAAACATGGGAAACACTGAAAAATATGTTCATAAAAGCCCACCCCAACACAATACCACTGAAAAAGAAAAACAAGAAATCCAAGTACAATTCAGCATGGTTGCACAAAGATCTCTCTGACAAACAAAGACAAAAAGTATAAGTACAAAAAAATGGAAAGAGGGACACATAGCTAAGGCAGAATATCAGCAGATAAGCCAGAATCTGCAAAGATGAAGTGAGGAAAGCAAAGGTTCAGAATTAATAAAGATTTCCAACAAAAGTCAAAGATAATAAAAAGTTTCTTTCAACATATAAATAGCAAGAAAAACATCAAGGGAACAGCCAGTCCACTAAAGAGAGAAGATGGCAAGGAAGTAATGGGCAGTAAAGAGAAAGCAGAGCTGCTTAATTCATTCTTTGCATCAGTCTTTACACAAAAAGAAACTATAGCCCAACTTACCAAAAACATACCAGTAAAAGACAGACTAGAAATAAAAATTAAAATAAACAAAAAAATAGTAAGAAAACACCTGTCTGACCTTAATGAATATAAATCACTGGGTCTTTATGGATTACATAAAATCACTGGGTCTTTATGGATTACATAAATTTGCCAGTTCTGGAGGAGCTGGCAAATGTTATCTCAGAACCATTGTATCATATCTTTAAAAAAACTTGGAGCCCTGACACTAAGCTGGCAAGAATAACACCTCAGAAGCTCAGGATCCAAAAAGATCTTGAGAGACTTGACCAATGGGTCCTATCCAACAAAATGAAATTTAATGTGAAGAAAAGCAAGGTTTTACACGGCAGAAAAAAACAAAGGTTCAAATGTATTTGAATGTTAGTGACTCAACTGGTAGTTGGACTGTTCATTTGAGCCTCCGAGGTTTGCAATTTGGTTGTAAATGTTTTGTCACCATTCAAGAAGACATCATCAGCGTGCTTTGAATTGTGCTCATCTATCAGAACTTTGGCCTTTAAATATTTTTTTATGTGATGCAAATTAGTATGGGAGTTGTTTGTTCATCTACTTCTAGTCGTGATTTGATTTTAGACTGTTTGATTGGCTGGCTGTTGTTATTGAAATTTAGCCTGATTTCTTGTGAACTGATGGGTTATTATTTTGTTGCTGCATAGTGGGATGCCTGTTTGTTCATTTTAAATGCTATTTTTGGGATCACGGTTGATGTAGTTCTTTTATTCTCAGCGATTGGTAGACTGGATTGATGTGTCTGTTTATTAACTTATTGGTGGAAAATCAGACTTCAAGGAATTCTCTTTCTCTCCTTGATTTTGCCTGGATTACAATTGTGGCCCTGGTTAGTTCTGAATCTTTGTGGACTGACATGAGGGATAGTGGGTCATGTATTTTGGTAGCCAGGAAGTATTTGTGAAGTCTGATTAATAACTTTCTTCCTGTTTGGCCAACATCGTTCTTTTCACAGTTGCTGCACTGGATTTAATATATGATGCCTGATCTTTGGTTAGTTTCTGTCTGCTCTTTTGGTTTTCACAGGGTCTGTCTAAGAGTTGAGGTTGGTTTGTGAGCTACCATGAGATCATGTTGATGCAGTAATTTTGCTGTCATTTCTGAATTATTCTGTATGTAGGGACAGTGATTCATCTGATCGTTGTTGCTCTTGTTGTAGTTATATTACTTTGAGAGTTTATATTGTATGTAGACATCTCTGGATGAAGTTTTGTGGGTATCCGTTTCTCTCAAAAGCTTTATATAAGTGTTTTTGTTCTGCTGATCTGGTCTCTTTGGTGTTCAAATGGGATTTTGCTCTCCCAAAAAGTGTTCTGATGCAGCTTTGTTTATGGCATTTTGGGTGGTTGCTGTGGAGGTTGAGGATTTGATCTGTATCTGTTGCCTTCCTGTACACAGATGTTAGAAGTTAGCCATTCGTGGTTCTGGTTACAAGGATATCAAGGAATGGCAATTCGTTATCATTCTTGGTTTCTATTGTAAATCAGGTATCTGTGAAGACATTGATCACTTGGTAGGTTTGATTGACCTGATTGCATTTGATGATCACAAAGGTGTTGTCAATATAACATACCCATATCTTGGGATTTATTTGTGGAAGTACAATTTCTTCAATATTTTGCATAACTTCTGTGACTAGGCCAGATATAGGAGATCCCATTGGCGATCCCTTCAGTTCATAGATCTCTCCGTCAAATCTGAAATAGGTAGTTAAGCATAGCTGGAGGAGTTCACATATGCTTTCTGTTATGAGTGGTTCTCTTGGTGGCTGTGTGTTGTCCAGTAGTTCTTTGATTAGGTTGATTACTAGTTTCAGATCTACTGATAATGTAGTATTACTAGTTTCAGATCTACTGATAATGTAGTAAATAATGTAGTATCATCAAATGATATCATTATTTTGTCTTTGTCAGTATGTAGGTGTTTGAATTGTCCAGGAATTGAATGGCATTGTTTATAGAATATTGGGAATCATCAATTAGGTACATTAGGCATTTCCACATTTCTTTCGGAAGGGTGTAAGTGGGTGTGCCAGGGAGTGAGACAATCAGTCTGAGTGGGGCGTTTTCTTTGTGCACTTTTGGAAGTCCATAGAACTGTGTTATGTTTGAATCAGTTGCTTTCATTCTTTGACATTCTTCTTCGGTAATTTGATTTAATTCTTGCAATGTTATTTTAGGGTTTTATTGATCTTGTTAGTCTGCTTCACAGTTGTGTCAGCGCTGAAGCATCTGTAGATGGATGGGTCCTGTAGGAGTTGCTTGGCCTTTTCTATGTAGTCAGCTATGTCTAGTAAGACTATCATCCAACATTTGCTGGTTGGTAGTATGACAATATTGTTATCAATTTTGGGGGATTTCATTGCCTGTTGTTCCTGTTTTGTAAAGATGCTGGAGTTTTGTTCTGGCATATTTGTTGTTGGGCTTCTTTGCTAAGGTCTTTCAATTTTAGGGCATTTTCTAGGCTTGTTAGGAATTCTGTAGTTGATGCATCATGTGGTTGAAGATGAGTCCCTTTATCAGGACTTGTTGTTCCTCCACTTTGAGTTGTCAGTTGGATAGGTTCTTAATCCTAGCTTGTTTGTTGTTGTGAGAGTTGTTAACTGTTAGTCTGGATAGCTTGCTTTGCAGGGCAGTATGCTTCTTTTCTCTTGTATTTGTTGTTCTGTGATCGATTGCTGTGTTCAAACTTTGCATAAGTTGTGGTCCAATGGTATTATTGCATAAGAACTTTTGCTCAGTGAGGCACTTTGTATATTTGTTGAGATGATTGTGAGTATCTGTTATCATCAGTTGGATCATGTGTTTACCACTTTGTCTTGCTGCTGGATGATTAATTGGTGATCTGTAACCCTTCAAGAAAGCATGTTTCAATGTAGGAAGAATATTTGCTCAGGTGTGGATGCTTCTCTGCAGACAAAGGTCTCCCAATGATGAGCGGCATTGAGCTTTGGACACCCAAAGGTGGTTGAAATCTTTTCTTTTATGTATACTGAGAGCATTTGCATCAAGACAAATTCCTTGTGTGTCCAATGACCCTTGGCCAATAAAGTATTCTATTCTATTCTATTCTATTCTATTCTATTCTATTCTATTCTATTTTAAATGTATTTGACAGACTAATGCTAATTTGCATCACACAGACAGTACTAAAACCAAAGACTATTTCTCAGTAACAACAGCCAGCCAATCAAACAGTCTGAAATCAGACCATGATTCAGAAGTAGCCAAACAAACAACACCCATACTAATTTGCATCATATAAAAAGTTATTTAAAGACCAGTGTTTTGACAGATGAGCACAATTCAAAGTGCACTGACAACATCTCCTCAAATGGTGATGAAACATCTGCAACCAAATTGCCAAGCTTGGAGCTCAGACCAACAGCACAAACCCAAACGTAGATGTACATATTAGGTGAAACCTGGCTCAAAAACAGTAACTGTGAAAGGGACTTTGGAGTCCTAGTGGATGATCATTTAAACATGAATCAGTAGTGTGTATCAGCAGCCAAAAAGCTAATACAATCCTTGGTTGTATAAATAGAGGCATAGAATCAAAATTACATGCAATATTAGTACCACTTTATAAAGGTTTAGTAAGGCCACAGGTGGAATACTGCATCCAGTTATGATTACCACATTACAAAAAAGATGTGAGATTTAGGAAAAAGTACAAAGAAGAGAAACTAAGACAATTAAAGGCCTGGAGACTAAAACACACGAAGAACAGTTGCAGGATTTGGGTTTGGCTAGTCTAGAGAAAAGAAGGCCTAGAGGGGACATGATAACAGTATTCCAGTATTTGAGAGGTTGCCACAAAGAGAGGGGTTCAATTTATTTTGCAAAACACTAGAGGGCAGGACAAGAAACAATGGATGGAAACTAATCAAGGAGAGAAGCAACTTGGAATTAAGGAGAAACTTCCTAACAGCGAGGACAATTAACCAGTGGAACCGCTTGCCTTCAGATGTTGTGGGTGCTTCATCACTGGAGGTTTTTAGAAGAGACTGGACTGTCTGAAATGGTATAATAGAAGAGGCTAGACTCGAAGACCTCTAAGGTTCCTTACAGCTCTATTCTGATTCTGATCCTATGGCATTATTTTTAGAAAGCTAAAGTTTTAACATACCAGAATGGTCTTGGTCAATCATATTAAAGATAATCTCCAAATCAGCTTTGTATCTATACAGAGTTTCCACCAAATATGGTTGAACCTAAAATAGAATAGAGATTGAGAAAGAGGGGGACAATGAGACAGATTAGAAATCATATAATACCTAGTTTATGGTTGAAATCACAATACCACAAACTATTTTATATCTTGTAAAACATATATTTTAAAATACAATTTATTCCATGGAAATCCAACATCTAGAATCTAAAGTCTAAAGGATTTTAATTTAAAATTTAATTGCAAGGAAGATATGCATTATACTAATAAATCTTCCAGGTTAAACTTTTAATGTAGACATTTATCCACTGGTAATTTTGCCGCTTTTTTATCCTTCATATTTCAAAAGAAAATTCTCTTAAGGAAGAAACTAATGAGATGCTATTAATTAGTAATGCTAGCAGTTATTTTCTCATGCATACACTAAGAGTCACATTACACAATTGTGTCTTCAAGTTTCTAAATAAAATTAATAGTATTATATAAAGCATTTTAACAATGCTGTCAGTTCAGCCATTCCCTAAATTAAGGTGTACAACCTAGGCCTCAAGACTGAGGATCACTACTGTGTAATTTAAAGACCATCCAAATAATTTTTTTAATAATTTCTAAAGTGACCAGAGAAAAACCTATTGAGCATATTAGGGACAGAAAATATGTATTTTCTGTCAGTCCTGCAGTGGTCTGAAAACTCAACATGTACCTGAATAAGCATTATATACCATTATATACCCACTGAAAGACCACTTTAAAATTTGGACTGTATATTAATGTATCCACACATTTTGCGATTGTTAAATGTACTGATTTAAATACTGATAATTGAATGTTTAATATTGCAACATACAAAACAAGACCAGCTTTTATCAGTATGATAAGCATATGTGTTTGAGTTTCCTTTTTTATTGCGTATGCATAAACATGAAGGGTATGATCACAGTAACTATATTTAATATCTATATTTAAATAAATATACTTAAATTTAATTAAATGAAATAACATCATTTTCCCTTCTATCTCTGCATGCTATTTTGTCCTGCCTGCCTCTCTATGGAAGGTTCAGCCTATTATTCAAAATGAAGTTCAGAGCCTTTGAAAAAAAAGTTGATCATCCTTGTTCCAAATCACCTCACCTCTTTGATGGGCAGTATAATTTCTAAATTGTCAAAACATGAAAGATATTCCACACTTCCATCTGGAGCCAGGCAAACTAGTCGAGAACGGAGAGTTCTCCAGGGTATGTCAAGATGCAGAACCGATTCCATGGCAGAAGCCCATTGGCCAAGAGAAATCCTTCCTGTTAAAAAGTGAAAAGTATTTTATGTTTCAGAGGAAGCTCCCTATGAAAAGATGTGAAATTCTACAGAGGAATTATTGAGTCTGTCATCTGCACCTCTATAACTATCTGGTTTGATTCTGCAACCCAACAGGACAGACACAGACTTCAGAGGATAATTAGGACTGCAGAAAACACAATTTCTACCCACCTGCCTTCAGTCGAGGACCTGTATACTGCATGAGTCAAAAAGAGGGCTGTGAAAATATTTGCAGACCCCTCACATCCTGAACATAAACTGTTACAACTCCTACCCTCAAAACGACGCTATAGAGCACTGCACACCAGAACAACTAGACACAAGAACAGTTTTTTCCCAAATCCCATCACTCTGCTAAACAAACTGTCCAACTATTTACAAAGTCTGCACTACTATTACTATTAATCTTCTCATCACTCTTTATTGCCCATCCCCTCCCACTTGTGACTGTATGAATGTAACTTTGTCGCTTGTATCATTACAATTTATATTGACTGTTTCCTAGTATGATTTGATTGTTTATTGTATCCTATGACTATTATTAAGTGTTGTACCTTAAGATTCTTGACTCTTGACAAATGTATATTTTCTTTTATGTACACTTGAGAGCATTTGCACCAAGACAAATTCCTTTGTGTCCAATCACACTTGGCCAATAAAGAATTCTATTCTATTCTATTCTATTCTATTCTATTCTATTCTATTCTATTCTATTCTATTCTATTCTATTCTATTCTATTCTTCTACTCTACTCTACTCTACTCTACTCTATTTTTATTTATCAAGCCACAACCCCTTCCAATTTCAATTAAAACATCATTGCAGGAGGTATTGTGGCATTGAGATTTCAATAAACTAACTTACAGGGTTACATTTTAGTAAAAACTGGCCAAATATAGTGCGTAGCTTCTAAATGTGGACCAACTCCCAGAATTCCCTAGCCAGACATGTTCACTGGGGAATTCTGGGAGTTGAAGTCCACATATATCAAACTGGTTGAGATTGAAAATCACTGTTCTAAAGACTGGTCCACCAGACTCTCCTCCCAACCTCTCACACACATTCTACCAGCTTCTGGTAGAGCTTATGAAGTACACTATGTAGAATATATTATAGAGAAGGGTGATCAACCTATAGATTGTAGGTATCCTGTTTGCACCACATCTCATCACATCACTGAAATTTGGTGGAGAAACATTTACATTTCAGCACTGAGTTTTAATTTGCTTTTGCTTTTTTTCCTTTTCAACCTGAAAAATCAGAAATTCATCAAATGAATGAAAGGTGGGCAGATTTCAACTTATGTGTATCTGTGTAATTGTTCAGTGGTGTGTGTGTGTGGAAAAAAGTGGCTGGTTTCTAACTTTGGCGTAAGATTCAAGTTAGGAATGTTAATTGGATTTTAACAGTTTTCAGTCTCCCAGTCCCATTCCTCCATCCACTCACCCTGCTTAACCATTCCTGGGGGGAGAGTGGCAAAAATCTGGCTTCTCAAATGTTACGTGTTCCTGGTATTATTTGAGGAATGAGAAGAAAAAATAGAAACTTTGATAATTATAAGCTCACAATTACTCCTCTTAGAATCACATCTCATCTTTAGCTTATTGTCTGCATGCTTTTCTCCATTCTCTATTGCTCATGTCCCCCAACCTCTACATGAGAAGCTTTGGAGGCTACAGAAGAAAGAGAGGAAACAAACTTTGCCATAGACAAAACCTTAAGCTACTTTTGAAATGTGAGCCTGGGGATAATAACAGAATCAATTCCATCCTATTTATTCTAGATGGAAATTATTTGTAATTGAAGGGATTCTATATATTGAAGTAACAAATGCAACCATGGCAGGAAAACAGCACTTAAAAATCAATCAATCGTGGGTATATAATTTCATAATCTGAAGCATTGAAAACACAATATTATTTCATATACCATTGTCTCCTCTATTGTTTGGACTGTGAAACCTGCAGAAAGCCCTGCTCCCTGCAAATATTGCTATTTTTCTTGGATACCAGTTGCTGTTCTGTACATTTGTGAGTTCATTAGTAAGTTTACTAAGTTCATTAGTATGTTCACATAATTGGGTTTTGCAAATAATCACCCAGTTAATGGACAATCTATGATGGCATCTGCATGCTTTCCTAATAATCCAATACTGACACATGTAGATTCTTTGAGATACTAATACAGCAGCTGTTTTGTCGGTATATCATGCCCCAAAATATTTTGTAGTTCTTTTGAAGGAAAGTCTCTACCTCTCATCTACCTCTCATCTGATTTTTTTCAGATTGTTATTAGAAACACAAGGCTGGAAATAACCATTTTAAGCCATTAAATAGAGCCCTCTGCACAGGGATCCCAATTAAAGCTGCCCAGGCAGACAGATCTCTCTCTAGTTCTGTCCTGAACACATCCAATGAATAGAAGACAACTGCTTTTCCAGGGAATTGGTTTCATGCCATTGAATTGTTCTTACTGTTAGGGCGTTTTTTTTCTAACATTCAATTGAAATCTGACTTTCTGTAACTTTCATCCATTATTTCATATTCTGTATTCTGGGACAAGAGAGAACAGGTCTTAAAGTTCTCTATGATAATATTTCAAGTGTTTGAAGACCACTATTATATTCAGTTATCCTTTTTCATAACTAAATATCCTTCTATCCTTTTCATAGGACTTGGTTTTCAGTCCCTTGATTTCCTTGCCATCATCCTTTGAATATATTCCAACGACTCTGCATCCCTCTTAAAGGATGATTCTCTTTAAGAGGGATAAATACATTACTTTCTTTGGTTTGGTAAATAAACTTATATTAATACAACTAATGAGATACTAAGTTCTACTGCTAGGCATTAACTGTGGTCTGAAAAGGACATCCCACACTGGAAACACTGTCATTGGAATTCTTAAAAAAACAAGAATTACACAGTTAGAAAAGATTGCATGAGTCATTTTGATCAGCCTCCAAGCTCATGGACTATTTTTGGGCCAGCAGTGTCCATTATTCTAAATAATTTGATATCACCTGTAAATTGCATCTTTACTCAATCTAGCTCATTTATGAATGATTCATTGTAGCATCTGTCCCATACAAATCTAGAATCTATTGCTTCTGTTCTTCTGTTATACAATTTGCTACTTTTACAGCTACTTGTCACATTTTCTTCCTGTAATGTGCAACATACAAAGTTACTTGTACATAAAAACACAATACTGACACACACAAAAAAGGAAATATTTTTTCGAATCACATTACCTATGCCAAGTGGATCATACTGGGTGAAAGCTGCAATGAGGTCTGATTTGTGGGTATAAAGTTTCTCTCGCAAACCCTTTAAAGCAGAAAGCTCGATAGCAGCCACTCTACAAAGAAATCATTAAACTGGACAATTAGAACAACAAAATCTCTTTACAAGTCCATGTCAGAGTACAGAATTTTAGGAATTCCCCTACGGAGAACAAAGAAAATACTTAAACATAATGGTAAACTGGAGTAATGCTGCATATCTAGTTAGAAAAATTGAAAAAAATAAACTTGCATTTGGGAAAACAACTGCATGAGTAACAATATAATCTCAATAGTTCTTGTAGTCAGAGTTTTATATCACCAATTTAGATTTTTTTTATGTAGTTATAAACTAAAAAAAAGGTGAAAAGGTGAGGAAATGTAAGCAAAGTGGCCAATCAGGAAAATATGTACATCCAACAGAGAGATGCTTACCATATTTACATATATGCAGTACAACCATGATAAGAATGAAACAAAGTATAAATAAATAATAGCCATACTGGGTTAAATACAAATTGAGTTTGATGGTTATTAGCATTATTATCCTTCATTTCAGCTTTACCAGCAGTCCTACAAACAGTATTTTACCTCCATACTGCTAGAGCTGATCAATAGCTAGTTATGTGGAATGGAAGCAGGTGCAAGCAAAGGTGATAGCCATTGCTGGCAGCTAGGTTTGAAAAAGGTAGGAGAACCAAATGGCCTCTGGTAGAAGTTAAAGGAACTCTTGGCTATCACTGGGATGCCAGTGAATTAAAATCATAGGTTGGCCCTTAATTCCAAGGCAGCCAGACATCAAGTACTATTTATTCTCCTTCAGTCCTCTCTGTGCAAGTCCACTATTATTCCACTCCTATAAATTAGGTGTAAATAGCAATGCAGAGAAGACTATGGTTCATGCTGTGGTTCATGGAATAGGCAATAGCATCACATCAGTTAATTCAAGAAGAAAAAATAAAAGGGATGCATTACATCATATTTCTTGTAGCAACAGTATTAAAACTTATCTAACGTATATGCAATTCTCAACTTATGACCACAATTGGGACCAGAATTTCCATTGCGAATCAAGGCAAATATATATTGCAAGATCCAATCTGGGTCAGTCACTAGAACCAGACGTTTACTCTTCCAAGCTTTTGAACTCATGCTGAATCCCATCTTCAGGGAACTTCTCTCTACCAGAATATGTGCTTTGGGCTATTTTATGAGTCATATTTATGTGGGGCCTTCCTACTGATTGATTGGTGTGTTGATGGCTGCCCATTGATTATTGTTTCCTTGTGCTGCCAAGTCCTCAGCTCCTTAGTAACTGATAAGCTAGTGGTAAACCAGCACTCCTCCTGACTGTTTTCCAAACTAGAGAAATTCCCAGAATTTCCATTGTTGAGGAAGGTGGTTGTTAAGTACGTCATGCCCAATTTAAGGACATTTTTGCCACAGTTGTTAAGCAAATCATTGCAATTATCAAATGAATCATTTGATTTTGAAGTGAAACAGGCTTCCCCCATTGATTTTGTCAGAAACCAGCTGGAAAGATTTTAAATGGCGATCACATGAGCCCAGAATGCTACAACTGTCATAAATGCAGGCTGGGTGCCAACTGCCTGAAAATTGATCCCAGGACCATGGAGATGCTGCCATGGATATAAGCATGAGGAATAGTTGTAAGTTGCAGTGGCACTTTTTTCAGTGCCACTTGCAACTTCAAACAGTCACTAAATGGTTGTAAGTTCAGGGCTACCTGTATAGTTTGTTAGTAAAGACAGAAGCCACAGAGATTTCCCTCTTAACTAAGGCAGAATATCAGCAGATAGCCAGAATCTGCAAAGATGAAGTCAGGAAAGCAAAGGCTCAGAATGAACAAAAACTTGCAACAAAAGTCAAAGATAATTTAAATAGTTTCTTTCAACATATAAATAACGAGAAAAAAATCAAGGAAGCAGTCAGTCCACTAAAGAGAGAAGACAGCAAGGAAGTAATAGACAGCACAGAGAAAGCAGAGCTCATAACTCATTCTTTGCATCGGTCTTCACACAAAAAGAAACTACAACCCATCCTACCAAAAACATAACTGTAAAAGACAGACTAGAAAGAAAAGTTAAAATAAGCAAAAAACCAGTAAGAGAACACCTGTCTGATCTTGATGAATACTATCACCGAGACCTGATGGATAACATCCCAGATTTCTAAAGGGGCTGGCAGATGTTCAGAACCACTGTACCACGTCTTCCAAAAAAAAAAATGATTTTGGAGCACCAGGGAGCTACCAGAGGACTGGAAAAGAGCTAATGTGGTTCCCATCTTCAAAACAAAAAACCAAAATACGAGACCCAGGAAACTACAGACTGATCAGCCTAACATCAATACTCGAGAAGATACTGGAAAAGATAATCATAAAACATCTGAGAACATCTAGAAATGAGTAAAGTAATAAATCGAAGTCAGCATGGGTTTGTTAAAAACAGATCCTGACAAACCAATCTTATTTCATTATTTGACATAGTGACTTAATTAGTACAGCAGCTAAATGCTATGGACATAGTATACTTAGACTTTAGCAAGGCATTCGACAAGGGAGACCACAACCTACTTCTTCGTAAGCTAGAAAAAAGTGGGATAGATAATATCACTGTCAGATGGATTTGTAACTGGCTGACAAACTGTATTCAACAAGTAGTCCTTAATGGTATTACATCTACATGAAGGGAAGTAACCAATGGGGTACCACAAGGTTCCATTTTAGGCCCATACTCTTCAATTTCTTCATAAATGACTTAGATGAGGGAATAGAAGGGGAACTCATAAATATGCAGATGACACTAAGCTGGCAGGAATAGCTAACACCCAAGAAGATAGGCTCAAGATCCAGATGGATCTTAACAGACTTGAACACTGGGCTCAAACTAATGAAATGAAATTCAATGTATGCAAAAGTAAAGTCTTACACTTAGCCAAGAAACCCATCCAGTTTTGGTCACCACACTATAAAAAAGATGTTGAGACTCTAAAAAGAGTGCAGAGAATAGCAACAAAGATGATTAGGGGACGAAACTAAGACATATGAAGAACAGTTACAGGAACTGGGCATGGCTAGTGAAGAAAAGGACCAGGGAAGACATGATAGCAGTGTTCCAATATTCGAAGGGCTGTCACAACCTATTTTCCAAAGCACCTGAAGGCCAGACAAGTAATAATGGATGGAAACTAATCAAGGAGAGGTGCAACCTAGAAATAAGGAGAAATTTTCTGACAGAAAAATCAACCAATGGAACAGATTTCCTCCAGAAGTGGTAGCATCACCACTGAGAGCTTTCAAGAAGAGACTGGACTGCCATCTGTCAGAAATGGTATTGGGCAGGGGGGTTGGACTAGATGACCTACAAGGTCCCTTCCAACTGTTATTCTGTTCTGTTATCTGTTAACTGTTTCCCTCCCAGTGAAAAATACAGGGATATTATTCCATCGTATCTTCTGCAGTTCTGTTCACTGTAATATTATTTTGAAAATACTGTTATTTCATGGTGTCTAACATATTGAGTTACAAATGTCAGTAGAACATATCTGGAGAAGCAGAGTGCTACAAACAAGCGACACAGCCTCAAATTCTATATTCCATCCAGCACTCCTTTTTTTAAAGCTAATGTTTATTTTGCTATCTCTCCCACTTCAACGTGCACTGGACCGTGTTTTATAAAATTCTGCCGGAAGCCCATCTGGACCTGGTACTTTTCCATTATTCTGTCTGTTGAGTGCTTCGGTTAGTTCCATCATTGTTATAGTACTTTCTAACATTTTTTCAGTCTCTTTAGGTATCTTAGGTAGGTTAGCATTTTGTAAATACTGTTTAATTTTTTCCTCATCAATATTCTCTTGTTTATATAGTTGTCCATAAAAGTCTCGGATAATTGCCTTTTTCTCCTTATTACCATAACACATTTGGCCTTGATCGTCTATTAACTGTAATATTTTCCTTGATTCTTTCTCCTTTCTCAGTTTGTATGCTAACCATCTACCTGGCCTATTTGCATCTTCAAAATAGTTCTGTTTAGCACTTCTAATTTTTTGTGCCAATTCTTCTTTCTCTATCTGACCCATTTTATGTTTAATTATGTCCATTTTAAGTTTAATATCTTTTTTCTGTGGCATTTTCTGTAATTCTTTTTCCAGTTTTTTGTGATCCTCTTCTAAAGCTTTGATAGTTTGCCTCTTCCTAATGTTCTTTTTCTTTGTATAGTCTATTATTAATCCTCTCGCATATGCCTTCATTGTATCCCAAACATTCTGTATTGAAGTATCTTCTTTTTTATTTTCACTAAAGAAGAAGGCCAATTCTTTCTCCATCCATTGTGTGAAGTCTTTTTCCTTTAAAATAGTATTATTTAATGTCCATCTAGATCTTCTTTTTTGTCCTTTCCATTTAATTGTCATTGGATTATGGTCTGCCCATGTACTTGTTTCAATATATATTTCTTGAATATTAGATATTAATTCTGTTGAGGTCCAAATCATATCTATTCTGGACCATGATAAATGTCTATTTGAGTAAAAAGTATATTGTTGAATTTTAGCATTTCTTTCTCTCCATATATCTTTTAAGTTTAATTCATCTATCATTTTGAAAAAGGATTTAGGGAGAGTCTTTCTATTTTGTCTTGTTGCTGTTGTTGTATAGTCCAATTTATTGTCTACGATTCCATTGAAATCTCCCATCATAACTATGTTAATATAGTCCAGTCCCATTGTTTTCATATGTAATTTTTTATAAAATTCTTCTTGTTTATCATTCGGGGCATAAATTGCAACCAGGAGTCGTTGAGAATTGTTGAGCATCCCATTGCTAGAAGTCATGAATGAAGTTATGTCAAATAAGAAGATACCTAAAACATGGTCAGAAGCTTACATTACACTTATTCCAAAAGAAGGGGCCGATCCAGTACAAATCAAGAACTATAGACCTATTTCTTTATTGAATGCAGATTATAAAATCTTTGCTTCAATCTTGGCAGAAAGGCTTAAACAATACTTAAATAATTTTATTCATTCTGATCAGAATGGATTTCTGCCAAAGAGACAAATCAAAGACAATATGAGAGTAATTCTGGACACTTTGGAATATTATGAGGCACATCCCGAAAAACAAATGGCTTTGATATTCCTCGATGCCCAAAAGGCATTTGATAATGTGAATTGGAGATTTATGTTACTACTACTGGAACAGATGGGTTTTGCCAGAAAATTTATTCAAGCAATAGAAGCTATATACTATAAGCAAACGGCAAAAGTAATGATAGAGGGAGAACTTACAGACTCTATTAACATAAGAAAAGGCAAAAGACAAGGATGTCCATTATCACCTTTGCTATTTGTATTGACTTTGGAAGTGTTGAATAGAAATATTAGAGAGGACCAAAATATAAAAGGAATGAAAATCAAAAAGGAGGAATTTAAACTACAAGCCTTTGCGGATGATTTGGTTTTCATTCTGGAAGATCCTCTAGAGACAGCTTTAAAACTATTGGAAAAGATAGAGATGTACGGTGAGATGGCTGGTTTGAAAATAAATAAAGATAAAACAAAGATTCTGACAAAGAACATGTTATTAAGACAAAGAGAAGAACTGGCAGACCTATTGAAAATTGAAGTCACGAATAAGGTTAAGTATTTGGGGATATATTTGACGTCAAGATGTACTACATTGAAAGAGAATAACTATATTAAACTCAAACAGCAGATAGCACTTGATCTGAAGAAATGGGAAAACCTACAACTGTCATTAATAGGCAGAATTTCAACAATCAAGATGAATATTTTCCCAGAATTTTATATTTGTTCCAAACAATACCAATTAGGCTTGGCAAAGATTATTTTGAAGACTTAAATAAAATTGTGTTGAAGTATATATGGCAAGGCAAGAAAGCGAGAATAAAATTAAAACTTTTACAAGATGCTAGAACTAGAGGAGGATTTGGCCTTCCTAATTGGGAGTTGTATTATCAAGCTGCAAATTTGATGTGGGCTAAAGAATGGATAACATTAAGAAAAATTAGATTGTTGACACTAGAAGGACATGATTTATTACTGGGCTGGCATGCTTTTCTGTGGTATAAGGGAACTAAATCGCAGGGCTATTTTAGAAGGCATTATATACGGGAGTCTTTATGGTTAAACTGGGAGAAAATTAAGAGACAATGTTATTTGAAAATCCCAGTTTGGTTATCAACTATTGAAGCTTTTTCTTATCCTATAACATACAAGAAGGAACAAACAGTTAGATATGGGGAAATATTGGATGAAAAGGGTGAACTTAAAACGATGCAAAATCTAGAAGAACAAGGTATAAAGATGAATTGGTTTTCATATGCGCAAATACACTCAAGGTATGTTAAAGATTCTAAAACAGAGGGATTCTATGATAAATTGACTGACTTAGATAAGATTTTGACAGGTACTGATGAAAAAGTGATTAAAAAATTATATGGTTATTTACTGGAAATTAAACTAGAGGAAGAACAAGTTAAAGAAACTATGATTGCTTGGGGGAAGAATTTTGGATATGGGATTGATTTAGAGAAATGGCAAAAATTGTGGTCTCAAAATTATAAAATGACAATGTCAACAGCATATAAAGAAAATCTGTATAAGATGTTTTACAGGTGGCATTTCCCCCCGACAAGAATAGCAAGAATGTTCAAGAATAAATCTGAAAAATGCTGGAAATGTCATCAGATACCTGGCTCATATTACCATATGTGGTGGACTTGTGAGGACGCTAGAAAATATTGGACTAAAATTCGCATATGGTTGGAAAAAATGACAAAGAAACATATAGATTTAAAACCAGAGATTTTTTTATTGGGAATCTTACCTGATACATACAATAAAAATTTGAAATATTTGATTGTAAATGTATTAACAGCGGCTAGGATTGTATTTGCTAAAAATTGGAAGAGTGAGAAAATACCATCACAGGAAGAAATTATTAAGAAAATATTGGAATGTGCTGAAATGAGTAGATTGACATTTGAAATTAGAGAACAAGAAGATAAACAATTCTATAAAATTTGGGACCTTTTCTATCAATGGCTAGATAATAAAATATAATAATAGAATATTTAGAACTTTAGGAAACAATGAATACATATTTCTTTTTTTCTTTGATATTATCTTTATAAAATTTTATTAAGATAGACTTGGTATGACTTTATGATTTGCTATAAAATAAATTAAGTAAACTATAGTTATCTCGTTAAAGTATGAATTAATAAAATTATAGTCAAATGATTGTTTAATAATGATATCAGGCTATATAATTGTTAATTGATAATATGAGCTATTATGTAATATAACTACAATGGAGACTATGAAATGGATGCACAAAAAAAAGTGGTAAACCAACCGACACACTGTCTGTAAACTCATGAAGGAAAGGATGATGTTTTTATGTTTTATGTGTTTTTGTTTGTTGTTAAAATTAATAAAACTGTTAAAAAAAACGTGCACTGGACCACCATTTACTCAACTACAGGTAATCTTTGCTTAACAATCACTCATTCAAAAACCATCCATACTTGTATTGCCGCTGACCAAATTGTAGTGACCCCAATCTCCAAAATAACAGTACCACCATGGTCTTGAGACTAAAATTCATGCACTTAGCATCCTTACAACCACGGAGCCACCTCAACTCTCCCCACCCACATATCTCCCCCAATCTCTGTCCTTTTGGACACCCTCCACAGTAGCATTTCTTAACATCAATGGCCTTGGGATTGAGGATGAAGCACTGTGACAAAGGCATGCACGGTATTAGTGACTTTGGGAAGAACGCCTGGTACAGCCAGGAGCTACTTCACATAAGGCTAGGCTGGGCATGCTGGGCTCACCAGCAGTGGGAGGAAGATGGCAAAGGTCAGCTGGGCACAGCAGGGGTTGCAGGGCACAGGGTGGCAGGAAAGGTTGAGGCTTTATGCTAAGGACCTGGTGTGGATGGCTGCAGTGTGAGACTTGAGGCAGCACCCTCTACAGTGGTAGTGGTGAAGGTAAACTAGACACAATCCTTTATCTTACCAAGGCTCAGGGGTTAGGAAGGACCAAGCTGGGAATGACAGCTTGAATAGGTTCTCATCTAACAACTGGTGGGAACTGCCAGGATTACTATCACTAAGAGATTCAGTCATATGACTTCATAACTTATGGCCACATTGCTTGGCAACAGGAGTTCAAGTCCAAATTGCCATTGTAACTCGAGAACTACTGTACTGTCTAAAAGAAATCATCTTCCAAAAGGAAAGGCATAGATTTGACTGCACTCATAAAACATCAGCTGATCACTTCTAATCCTTAGTAATGTTTTTAGCAAAGGCTGGTCCACCACTAGTTACACTATAATATATAACAATTGTTCGTTTAGCATCCCAAATATGAATGTTTTTAAGCAATAGGTATGCTTTTTTAGTTTTACCTCTGATGAAGCGTCTGCTTACGTGTAGATTTGCTGACTTGATACTGAACAAAATGAGGAATCACATCTGGATTTAGTTTGATGTAGGCACCACGATTGCTTCCTTCTTCATAGTAGTTTGAGGCAGAAAAAATAGTGATGACCTATTTGAAAAAGAACACAGCTATCACATAAAATATAGTATGCTCAGAAACAGACTAGTCACAGGTGAACAAATGGCAGAATTAACCAAGCATTATGTTATAATTCTATATACTGTGAGCAGTATATAAGTAGCTTTTTTCCATTGTTGAAAAAACAATGTAAAAGAAGCTTACATAGCTGTGGCTTTGTATATATAAAAAGTGGGGAGGGGAATCTAGTTCTGAACACATCTTTTAATGTGTTTTGATACACACTTGAAGAGCCATGATAGCTCACGCCTACGGATCGAGAATGTAATAACTATAAATATCCATTTCCTTGTATATAAAGATTCTCCCTCAACAAACCATCCTACATTCTCAGTTATGGAAGGGATTTTGTGTGTTTTGAAGGAAGGACAAAAAAACCCCAAGAACATACCAGAAGTTATCCAAACTTCTAGCAGCTATGATGTTTCCCAATGCTTGGAAGAGGATAGAACAAAGAATGACAGAGTTATAGCATTTTTCTACAGAAGCAGAAAACTGATATAGCTGTTTGCCAATGGAATATTTTTCTCTTTTCAGCTAGTCTTTCCATCTAAATATGGAATATTGATTTCTCCTTATTTTAGTTTGCATTATGGAAAAAATGAAATAATGATTAAAATTCAAGTATGTAGTATGATTAAGTACCCTTCTGGTGGCTAATGATTGCCATATCAATGTTGAGTTGGAGCTGTCTTTCTAGTACAATCTGATACAATCTTTCTATCTGGTGAATGTTTTATGAAATTTGAACTTTGAAGTATCAATTACCTTTCCATTATGACTGATCTCATAACCTTCCTGTTTGCACTGGTGAGACCTGATGAGCAATTTCAAATTATAACGTTGCAGCAATCTGGCAGTAATATCTGGACCAAAGTAACAACCTCCTCCTCGAATTTTATTTGGTGAACAACCATTTTGATGCTTAGGATCACTCCAGAGAATATCCATCACCTTTCCATGCAAATGAATGAACATAAGATAATCCTATTATCTTCCAGTATTTGAAATAAATGCTCGTGTCTTTACTGATTCCCACACATGACATGTATGACAGTGAAACTTCTAATACTGATGTACTAAATTAGAATGATAAGGAAGTTAAATCACAATGCAGAAATCAATATAACTATTGCAGTCCAGAGTTAAGACTATCACCTATCTAGTTTCAGTGAAATTGACCCATTTTGACACACTCTGCCCACCTTCTATCTAGTAGTTGATTCTACCATCTGGTGTTAAATAAAGTTTAAATTAAGTGCTTAGAGGGAACTTCTCCAAATGAAGGACAATTACGGACACCGAATTATTGATATATTAATAAGAATATTGGGCCTTTTTATCATCACAAAAATGGAATCTCTAGAAGACAGGGGCTGCAACACATTTTCTATTAGCTTGCAAGAATTAAATATAAATAAACAAAACAAATTTGGGGTACGAAATTTCTAGTAGAAATTATTTATTGAGCTTGCAGTTGGTTACCTAATTAACGCTTTATTTTTTATCTTTACAACAGTTATTTCCAGTTATTTACATCCTTATAACCCATATTTTGGAGGAAAAAGGCTATATATAAAGGTTTAGCATACTTGTTCCCTTTCCTTTGCTGTTAATTCTGGAAATACATTTGTGGTAGTGAAGTTGTAAGGCTTATTCTGAAATGAGCTAGAACTAGTTATATCCTGGGTGCCATCAAGATTGCCTTTGACATCACCCACTTCCTTGGCGTATTGTCTTCTCTCACAGAATGCTGATGTAGACTTTATTACATTTTTCTTGGAAATCTCTTGCCCAGAATTGCATTTTTTGGTTTCTGTGAGATTGATACTGGTTTTCACAAGATTTGTTCTCTGTGGCTCATAGATTGCTTCCATATTTGACTTCACTGGCCTCAGCAAAGACTTTAACTATGAAGATAAAATTCATGATCATTATCCTCAGAGCAAAAACATTGATAAATATGGATATGCAAATGCTGTTTGGTCAAGAAGAGATTAATCTGTCCTTCAGTGTATGCTGGGAGCCCATTCCAAAGATAAGTGGAGACACAAAGAAAAAAAGCATACTTAAAAGAGTATGTATGTATGTATGTATGTATGTATGTATATAAGGGACTATGAGGACAATCCTTTGGAATGTACCTCTTATTGTTTGACAAGGAAATGTCGAAGAATTATACTGCATAGAATTACCTGCTGTTGTTTGTCCAATAACATTTCTTTCAAAGTTGTTTGTCATAAGTTGAATCTAAAGAGTTGGAAAGCACCATCTAAAAATATTTTTTTCCTTTCTGAAGAACTTGCTCAAGGTAATACTTGATATGTGTATGTACAGTATATATACGGTACATATATAGATGTACATATGTACATATATGCTATATATAGATATCTAGGTATATATGTTCCATCTAAAACTTACATTAAAAATTAGAAAGTATTTATATTGAAAACATGACTTTTTAAGATGAAATTCAGACAAAGATTAATATGTATATAATATAACAAATAATCCATACTTTATAGAATTACTAATAATGGACCTATCCTAATATTATGTACATTATCTATAGTACTTTAAACATACAAAATAATAGGGTTAATGCTCACTGAATTTAGTAGAATTTTACTTCTACAAGTGAGTAAGACTGGATCTACAACCAATAAAGCAACAAAGTACTTTTATATGTATAATTCCTACCTTGTTTCTGTGGAATGAATTCAGGAAATTCAAATCTGTCGTATCTGATATTCCACCATGTAAAATAAGAACTTGATTGTCAATAATAGTAGCAAGAGGAAGCCAGCTGTAGACATCTTCTAGAAGATGTAAAATTGGTTTGCCATAGGTCTGTCAAATGAAATGCTGGGTTAGATACTCTTGAACTGTTCCTTAAGACCTATGGACAGTTTCATTTTGGCTTTACAATAAAACAGGAACAAATGAAGGCAAGTATTTTTAGGACATCTCTAGACAATAATGGCCTAGTAATTTATGTAAAATAGCACAATCTGTTCTGTTGCTTTATTAATTTGATGGCCTTTATCAAAATGAGATAAAATACTAACCTTATACTTCTTCATTATTTCTTTTGTGAAACCATATCTGAAATGAAAATGATTGTTGGAATACATGTTAGAATGTATTTTATATTGCAACAACTACAGTATTATTCAGCCAGTAGATGGCAGTGTTTAGTTTGCAACTATGGTTATAATCTATGGTTCTTTATGTTCTGAGGATAATTTCCTTTGACAGTTGAAACTGTTACGCAGCAAGGCTCATAGTGACTGTACATTGTACATTTTATTTGATCTGTATGACTATGTAACCATCCTCTGCTACCAATCTACATGGCTGTATAATTATCCTCTGCTACAATTTCTGTAGAATAAAATAGAATTTTCTAACAAATTAGGGCCCAGCTTCAACACAGAGATAGAGCAGAGGTAAACCCAGTACCCAGATATGACATTCCAGTAAACCAGAATAAACCAGCTTCAACCCAGAGATAAACCCAGGTAAACTAGCTTCAACCCAGATTAACCCAAAACCCAGAGGTAAACCCAGTACAAATCCAGTACAAACCCAGATTAGAGAAGAAATATAGCAGAGAACAGAGCAAATCAGTCATAGTCAGCGACAGCAAATAAGTGCAAGATACAGCAATAGAAAGAAGATGCAACAGAATGAATGAACGAATGAATGAAAATGGCCAGTAGCAAAGGTGAAGCAAAGATTTCATTTGCAAATCTGGCAAACCAGAATTAGCAGTCTTGGAAATTCAAGATGAAAATGTGTTGTGACTCGGAGGTCTGAACCTGCCTTGTTAGAAGATACAGACTTAAGTAATGAGGGAGAGAGGGATTTGGCATCGAGATTTGAGCCTGCCTTGCTGGAAGACACAGACTTGAGCCAGGAGGAAGAGGAGGACTTGGCTCTGAGGTTTGAGCCTGCGTTGCTGGAGGATTCGGAATCATCTCCCTCCCCGGGACCTTCCTCCCTGGTTGTGCCTCAGGTGTCGGCAGACAATCAGGAGAGCGTGCCGGAGTCCTTGGCTGAGGATCAAGCCGAGGAATGCTGGTTTGATGCAAGGCAAAGACGCAGGCAGAAGCGTGAAATTCAACGTAAAAGGAAATGTCAAATCAGGAACTGACTTGAGAGACTGACACGCCCCTCAGGAAATAAAAGAGGGCGTGTTAGCTCTGAATACTTGTTCGGGACAATTTGTTTATTCGTGATAGCAGCTTGGATAAATTCCCTGTGCGGCGTTTGCTTTTTGATTTATGGTCTTGTTTGTTATCGGACTTGGCAGGCAGCTTTTGGAAGACTGCCAAGGATTCCTCCAGTCAAAGGAATTTAACTCTGTCGTTCCTGGTCCTGTCTGTTTATTTATATTCCTTTGAAAACTTGGACTCTCACCTCGTGGTCACAGGTGAGACAGAACAAAAATGCTTCTAATAAAGGAAGATACATGGAAATATATAAATGAAGTTAGACCAGAATACCCTTCAGGCAGGGGTGGGATGCAAATTTCTTAACAGCTGGTTCTGTGGGCATGGCTTAATTTGTGGGCATGGTCTGGTAGTCATGTGACTGGGCAGGTATGGCTTGCTGACTGGGCGTGGCTTGGTAGTCACGTGACTGGGTGGACCTAACTTGTATGTAAATATTGTAAATGTTTATGTAAATATTGAATTTTTTATTGAAAAAGAGCAACTTTTACCCAAAATCAGGCAAAGCAGGCAGGCAGATTGAGTTGCTTGCAGAATCACAGATTCACTCAGAGATCTACCTTTCTGCAATCTATTGCCTGAGTCTGTCACATAAAATTTGCTTGCAAACTCATAAAATTTGCTAGCAAGAAAACTCACAAAATTAACTCTCAACACATGTGTGCAAATATTGATTTTTTTTATTTAAAAAAAGAGCAACTTTTACCTAAAATCAAGCAAAGCAGGCAGGAAGATTGAGTTGCTCACAGAATCACAGATTCTCTCAGAGATCTACCTTTCTGCAATCTATTGCCTGAGTCTGCACTGAAAAATAGAAGCTAGGAAGATTCAGCTCTGCTTTTAGATTAGCTAGAAAGCAAGAAATCCAACAATTTCCTGCTTTCTAGCTAATTTAAATATCCCGTCACAGCTGATAGTTGGAACAGCTGATGGTTGGGGGGGAAAAAGGAAAAATAGGAACTTACCAAAAATTAAGTGAAGGCACATGGCAGGCAAGTTGGATGGCACGCATGCCAGGTAAGGAGTGAGTGGGTGGAGAGGGGAGGGGTGGGGCCAGCCAGTGGAACGATTTGCCGGTTCTCTGAACTGCACAGAATCCTAACAACCGGTTCTATAGAATCGGTCGACCAAGTAGAATGCCACCCCTGCCTTCAGGTGAGTAGATAGAGAAAGCTCAGAACACAATCTCTCTTAGCATAGAAGACGATCAATTCATACATATATGTAAATGTGAAACTGCTAAAGAAATGTGGGAAGGATTACAAAAGATACATGAAAGAGCTAATCTAAGCAGTGATGAACTGTATCTGCTGAACTGCAATCAAGTGGTTAATGTTGCCAAAGAGGACAAACATTTGTCTGTCACAGGAAACCCTCCTCAGAGCATAAAGAACCATAGATTATAACCATAGATGCAAACTAAATAAACACTGCCATCTATTAGCTGAATAATTCTGTAGCTGTTGCATTCAAACTACACACATGGCACAGACGACTTGGGACACAGAAATCCTGATATAATAAATAAATTAACTGAGAAAGACTATCCAACTGGAATAAAAGAAGAAACCAGGTCCTAAGAGATTTCATTCAGGATATCCTGAATGTGAAGCACCATGATATCACAACAGCCTTTCTTAATGGTGATATCAAAGAGGAACTATATATAACACAGCCAAAAGAATATCTTCTGTGCTAGTTGTAGAAATCTCTTTATGGACTCAAGTAATCAACTCAAACATGGAATTTTAAAAAATAAACGAAGTCTTGCTAGACAAAGGATTCATACAAAGGAAGGCTGACCCATGTCTATATTCAAAAATGTGTAGATTCTGTATATTTTACTCTATGTGGATGACTTGATTGTTGTTTACAAAAGAGATGAGAAAATTGCAAAGTTGACTGCAATGCTTAACTAACATTTTGAGACTAAAGATCTTGGAGATGTGACGTATTACCTAGGAATTATCATACAGCATAAGAAATAGCAGCTTCCTGTTAAATCAGAAATCTAAAATGGAAGCACTGCTTCAGCAGTTTGGCCTGACTGAAACCAAAGAAGCAAGTACTCCCATGAACACAGCATATTGAAAATTGAACAGAATGAAGATCTTCTTCCTATTAATGAACAGTACAGATAAGCAGTGGAGGCATTGCTAAATATTGCAACCACTGCACATCCAGACATTGCAGCTGCTATGTCACTTCTTTGTAGACGCAGGAGTAAACCATGTCAAAGAGACTGGACATCAATCAAGAGAGTCATAAGATATCTCAAACAAACCAAGAACTTAAGTCTGAAGCTATCTGCAGTTGGTGATTTGAACCTTGTAGGATATGTGGACTCTGATTGGGCAGGTGACCTAAGTACTTGTAAATCCACAAATGGTTACTTGTTCAAAATTAGGAAATAGTGCTTCCAGCAAGAAGCAAACCTCAGTAGCTTTGTCTTCTACAGAGGCAGAATACATTGCTGCTGCCTATGCCAGTCAAGAAGCTGTGTAGTTACATTAGTTGAAAATCTTGGAGAGACAATGTCCTACAATCTTATATAACTGTATTAAGGATGTATTAAATTTGCCACCAATGAGAGGATAAATGCAAGAACAAAGTTTATTAATGTCAGACATCTTTACATTCATGATCTGATTGAGCAAAATGAAATTATACTTACGTATTGTGAAACTAGTAAGATGATTGCAGATGTTTTGACAAAATCGCTAATAAGGAACAGATTTATAGATCTGAGAGCAGAAATGGGACTATTGTAAGGAGTAGTTGTTGAGTGGGAGTGTTGGAATACATGTTCAAATATATTTTGTATTGCAACAACTATAGAATTACTCCACTAGTAGATGGCAGTGTTTAGTTTGCATCTATGATTATAATCTATGGTTCTTTATGTTCTTTATGTTCTGTGACAGTTGAAACCATTAAGCAGCAAGGCTGATGGTGACTGTACACTTTATTTGTTTGATCTGTATGGCTATGTAACCATTAGGGCATGTCAAAATTTTCAACTCTCAATTTCTAAACATTAGGGGTGCTCAAAAATTGTGACATGCCTTGGGGATTGTAAAGATATTTTGGTTACTTTAATATAATTTAGATGTGCTTTGTAAGTAACTACATAAATATCATAACTTTTTAACATTTTGTTTGTTTCATTACCATCCACTACTACTAATCTGTATGACTATATAATCATCATCTGCTACAATTTCTGTGAAATAAAGCAGAATTTTCTAACAATAACAAGTACTTTTATATAATTAATAACTGTGTAAAGCACATTGCCTATAAGAAATATTTTAATTCTATATCATATGTCTGTGTTTGGAAATGAAAAAGATGATCTATTAGTATTATCACTATATGACAATCTAGTTATAACTCCAATATACTTTCTGAAACTGATTCCTACCATATTTTCTCTGGCATTCAAAATACAGAATATTTCACTCTCTTTTTTTCACTGAAAAGCAGCTTGTAATTTATATCTTCTCTGCTATATTTTATTTTTAGATACACAGGAATGTTGACCAGTGTAGATATACCTTAAAGAGTTAAACAATATATTCACACATTTTTTTCTGATTTAAATTAGAAATTATGTCATAATCTGACATTAAGCTCAAGTACTTTTAAAAGTGCTCAAAGTTCAAACTCCACTTAAAATGCCTCCAAATAATTTCATTCCTGCTCACTCCTGCTTCAGGTACCATGAAGTGAGTGGTACTGAGGGTGTGTGCTACAGAATGCAGGCAGGTGATTGCTGTGGGCACTACAGAGTCTCGACAGGTTTATAGTGAATGCTATAGACCAGGGGTGTCCAACCTTGGCAACTTTAAGACTTGTGGACTTCAACTCCCAGAATTCCTCAGCCAGCTGGCTGAGGAATTCTGGGACTTGAAGTCCACAAGTCTTAAAGTTGCCAAGGTTGGACACCCCTGCTATAGACTATGGATGGGCAGGTACTGCAACAGGTACAATGGAGTGTGAGGAGTGGGTGGACACAACTGAGCATGGCAGCAGGTGAAAAAGCAGTGATAATGGAAGTGATTGAGACTTCTTGGCAACTTCCACATTGACCTTGTTTGTGAGAAGCCTGCCTGCAGGGAAGGTTGCAACTGGTGATCACATCACAGTAGAACACTGCACCCATCCTAATTGCAAGCTGGTGCTAAGCATCTGAAGAAGGGATGCCACATTGGTTACAATTTCATGGATGAGTTCCCCTTGTTCAGTGTCATCATGACTTTGAACACTTTCTGAGCAAATGGTTGTAATCCAAGGATTACCTATATATGGAAGCTCCACCCTTTGTTAACTGCATTGCACACAGCACCTGCCAACTGCATTGTGGTAAGGGGTGGACTTCACATCAAGAGGAACATTTTGTCACTCCCTTGTACAGACTGATGCATAGGCATGGTCTATGCATGGTCTATGGTCTAAAACGGGTGGAGAACGATGGCCATACTGACTCAGGAATTCTGGGAGTTGAAGTCCACAAGTCATAAAAGGGCCATCGTTCCCCACCCCTGGTCTAAAATAATGCATGAGGAAAGTATAGGAAAATACAGTTTCAAATACTAACACAACAAGAAAAACAGGGTTAGGTTAAAAAAAATTAATGTCAAGCTTTCAGAAAGAAAATATATTTAAGAGCTGGAGAAATAATAAAAATGGCCATACCTAAGATTCATCAGGTGGTCCTCATGATTCCCTCTGTTCAGATGTAAATGGTTAGGATAAACAAGGAGAAATGCAAACAGGATTATAAGTATTTCCATGGAATTCTTCCCTCTGTCAACAAAATCACCGTTAAAAACATACGGATTTTCTTCTGAAGGAAGGCCATTCTGCAAAGAAAACAAAACAGCAGAGTAGTTAACATTGCAATGTAATATTATAAGAATGTGAATATCTCTGCAACATTACAGGAATACTATATAATAATCTTTCATAGCAACACTTTTCCAATTCTGCCACAGGAAGTGCTATATGAGGCCATCAATCATGAAGGCATTATAACCTTATTTAACTTTTGAAATTCTATGTCAATAGAATGGATCATTCAATATTTTTTTATATCCATATATCCCTCCAAATAGCACTCAAGAAAAATATTATAAAATACTCCATTATAATTAAAATAAACAAAACAACTAAAATATATATAAATAGAAAAGAAATAAACATCCATCACTAACTTACTTTAGCATACAGATCAACTTCCATATAAGGACAATACAGTCCTAGCTGAGCCAATCTTGGCAAGTAATTCTAATATAAGTCAGTGTTAAAATATGTTTATATTTTATTGCCTGTATTGTCATTACAGTGAAATTATTATGACAATAATTAGTTACATTTAGAATCTGCTTTACCAAAAAGAAATTGACATTTTAAAATTTTATTTTTTCCAATGCAATCCTCACTTATGAGGCATTTTAATTTTATATAAATATAATATAATAATATTTTGTGAGAGATATGTACTTCCATTCTCATGTGCATGTCAGCTCTCACCTCTCCATCTAATTAGGAATACATTTGTAGTGCTAAATCCACAAGCTTCTCAGAACACACTTCTTGGAACAGTGAACTAAGTGTCCTCAATAACAAATTGTGGGAAGTACACCCCAAAAGGACAGTGCCAGAAACCTCACAGCACCAGAAACCTCAGAAAACAGTGCCAAGAAACTAGAGTTCCGGTTTGCAGCGCTTTGGGGCAGGCAGGAATCCGTGATTGTGCACAGTTTCTGCCTGTGCTCGCTGCTGGAGTGCCCCGAGCCAGCCGGCTTCCGGGCTAAGCCACCCCGTAGAGGTGGTGAAGACAGGGGAGATCCGGCAGGGTTCGAGGGGAGCTGCACCTCTCCTCCTCAGCTGGCTAAACTCCCTTTTCCAAAGGCGGTAAGAGCGGCGGTCAGAAATGGCTGCCTCAAAGAAGCACTCAGCCGGAAAAGAAAGTGCAGGAGGAAGTTAAGAAGTGAAAGTTTTGGCTGACTGGTATAAGAAGCAACAACTAAGATATCCTGGAATTTAATTTTTTTTAAAAAGATACATCGTTCCCAAAGAAGAATCAGAAGCAGCGAATGAAAGTGAAAAGGGAAAGGTTTGGTTTTTTTTCACTCTCCTTCCTTAGGTTGACAGCAGATGAATGAGAAATTGGAAAAAACCGCTTTGGCATCAACAGGTAATTAAAATTAAATGCTAAGAGGACAATAAAGATTTCTGAACACTTAAAAAACTTTTTTTTGCTGTAAGTGGGAAGGAAGAGGAAAAGAATAAGAGCAAGATTTGACTGGAGGAGGCTGCTTGGAATTTAAAAGAATCTAAAGTTAAATCGTAATAAGACTTCTAAAAGATACATTTTAACTGGAACTTTGTAACTAAATTGTAACCCCAGGAAGAGAAAGTGAAAAAAGAAGAAAGTGTTAAATGAAACAGCTTGTGTGTATTTGGATTGTTTGGTGACTTTGGGACTTTTGGAAATTATATTTGAATGATTAAAAACACTTGGGTGGTTGTTTAAATTTTTTTTTACAATGGCATAACTTGTGGATGAACTGAAAATGGAATTTAAAAAATATAAAGAAGAGGAACAAGAAGGGAAGGGCTCTTTTGGCTCCGTTTTTCATTTCTTAGAAATGGCGATCTGTACCTATGAGAAATTACAAGAAAAGACTGAACAACAAGAAGATTGGGACAAAGAAGAAGCCATCTTTAATGAACAAGTAACTTTATCTGGGGAAGAAAGAGGAAAGGAGGGAAAGAGAATGGAGAATTTAAGACCTAAAAAAACAACCAAAAAAGGGAAAAATAAGGTGAAAAGTGGATATAATGTCAGAAAGCAACAGAAAAAGGGAACACAGAAGAGGGAAATGGAGGTGGAGAGACAAGGAGGTAAAAAGGGCAGAGTGAAGAAGCAAGGGAGGAAGGAAGGGAAGAGAAGCTATGAAGGTTTGGAACAAGATGTAAAGAAACAGGACTTATTCAGAGATAATGGGTAAAAATATAACTGAAAAAGAGATTCTGCAAAGGTACATAAGATTGTATTGTTATACTTGTATTAGAAATAATGTTAGAAAATTGGAACAACATATGATTATAAAATGGGATAAAACACTCAGTGTAATTCAGTGAAACTTTTTTTTTTTGAACAAAATAAATGAAATGAAATAAATGAGAGAATTGAACTAGGAAGGAATGGGAACATTTTAATTATACAATGTTTTAAAATATAAGTGAAATGGGGGGAAGTAACTACGCAAAATTTATAAGTGTTCCCATAGAAACATGATGCCTATTTGAAAAGTAATGTGTAAAATGTTTAAGATTTAAATGAATATTAATTTTAACGATAGAGTTGAATTGGTATGGATTGTTGTTTTAATTATATTATATATTTATAATTTTTTCTTTTCTTAAAATATAGTGTGTAGCTTTGGAATATACTAAGCAGAATCTGAATGAAAGTTATGTACTATATTAAGTGTTATAAACTTAGGGGAAAGATATAAAGGTGCCATACTCCAAGCAGTGATTACAGGAGAAATTTTGTTTTAATGAGAAAAGATAATAGACAGCTGAAACAGGACAGACAAAGGAAATAAATATAATGATTTAAATTGAGATGAAATAAATAAAATAGAATTAAGAGAGTTAAAAGAGGGGAGAAGCTATATAGAAAATCTAGAATGGTAATAAGATATGGAACGGTATATAAAAGTGAGCACGAACTTGAATCTATGTCTGTACAAAGAGATGTAACCCGGGATCAAGCTGCTTTCAAAAAAGATGTTTTATGTTTTCATGTTTTGTGTTTTGTTTGTTTATGTTTGTTTTTTAAAAATCAATAACATTTTTGGAAAAAAGAAAAAGAAAACAGTGCCAAGAAACTCAAGCCAGCCCTTCCCCTTTTAAGAAAACCAAGAAACACCAGCTGAACGGAAAACTCAGAGCAGCCCTGCTAACAGAGCTGACAACAGAAACACTTAAGTAGAGCCATTAAGCTAAGGGGAATCAGGCTAAAAATAACTCACCAAGGGTAAACCAGAACTCCCTTTTTCCTGCCCCCTGCCAAGATTAACCAATTCAGACTGGCTCGCCCATATCGGTAGCTCCTATCACCAGCTGGGCCCACCCACTTGCCCTGTTGCTGTCCTGCCCTATATATGGCTCTTTCGCCCCACCCATGCATCCCAGCTGATTTTTGTACCTTGCCCACTCAACTCACCACAGCTGCCATGCACAGGAAATCCCCATGTTTTTGTAGCTGCATGTAAGTGAAAGGGGCATGTGTGCATGAAGGGAGCATGCGCGTGCGCACATTTTTGGTTTTGCCCTACGTGAACCAGTTGTTACAGTATGTGCAGCCCACTTCTGGATTAACCCCCAGGATAGGAAAGACAAAGGTCCTGGGACAGGATTCACCCATGAAGGCAGGAAGAGGCACACAAATAAAACCATCAAGCTGCAGGAGCTTCAAAGGGGAATTAAGCATAAAAGGCTCAGATTCACACTTCCAGTCTGCTTGCAAGCCAAGAACACTCAAGCTGTGTCACTACTTTTCTTGCCTTCCTGAATTAAAGGATCCCTTTTCTGGCAGCTGGCTTCCATGTCTATTTTTCAGCATCAGTAACTGCTTCCCAGCTGGGACACGAACTCAGGAAATTTATTCCCTCAAAATGAAACAGATTCTGAAAATATATGCAAGTTACATTTACCCAGGCTGGGAAAGCTGGGGTTTTTTGGGGGGTGGGGGGGTGTAATATTAGCTTTTAAAGCATCTTTAAATCTGACATTAGATTTAAATTGTAAATGCAAAACATCTCATGTGTTTTAAAATATAATAAGACTTTCCTGTCTCTATTTACTTTTCTCAAGCATGTAACAGCTTTACCTTTAGTTACTGCCCTTTGCAAATAAAATGAAATTGAAATCCTTTGCAGCAAAATACAACTTGTTTGCGGAGCTAAGATTGTTCTTATTTAATTGAATAAAAATAATAAAAATTAAAATAATAGCAAAAGCACTTAGACTTATATACTACTTCGTAATGATTTACAGCTAAGCAGTTTTACAGAGTCAGCATATTACAACTGGGTCTTCATTTCACCGACTTCGGAAGTATGAAAGGCTGAGTCAACCTTGAGCCGCTCAGAATTAAAGTCCTGGAATGAGCAGTGAGTTAGTCTGCAGTACTGCATTCTAACCACTGTGCCACTGCCAAATAAATAAACCATTCATGGTACATATAAAGATATCAAGCTGTAGTGTAACTATTAAAATATCCAAAAACACAATATGACAACTATTATAATACTGTCCTAATAAAATGGGATATAATTTAATATTCCTTAAATAGCATAAAACAGCCCATCATTAAACAGGAAAATGCAAGGTAACATTGAGCTACCAAAGAAAAATGGGTCTTAATTGTTCTCAAAAAGGCTTCCACGGGGGACTAATCTAATGTGCAAAGGAAGGCTGTTCCACAACATTGATGCTATGAACCAGAAACATTGTTTCCTTACTCCAGCCTCCTCTTTGCTTACAAAAATATGGAAGAACCAACAGTTTCTCCTATGGTGTACACACTGGATAGATAATTCTGAGTGGAAAACACAACTCTGATGAAACTTTGGTCTTTGTAGGTCAAAAGCAGCACATGGAATTGCAGACAGAAGCTTACTGTCATTCATATAGCAACTTGAGCACAAGTCTAGTATGTTTCTATTGGTTAATGCTTGCTAGCAACCACTCTGCTGCATTTTATACCAAGCATAATTTTCTGATATTCTTCAGAAGCAGCCCCATGTAGTACACATTACAGTAGTCAATGTGCATGGTAATGAAATAATGAGTTACTATTGCACTATGTTAGCTCTTCAAGATAGTCCAAACAAGGGGCACCAACCATTAATAGCAACAGCCTATAACTTAGACTTATATACACTTCACAGTGCTTTACAGTTCTCTCTAAGCTGTTTACAGATCAGCATATTGCCCCCCACAATCTGGGTCCTCATTTTACCGACCTCAGAAGGATGGAAGGCTGAGTCAACTTTGAGCCAATGAGAATCAAACTGCCAAAATGTTGGCAGTCGGCAGTCAGCAGAATTAGTCTGCAGTTCTGCATTCTAACCACTGAACCACCACAGCTGTTATACTGTACTATACTAACACTGCCTTTATGTAGGATTACAATAATAAAATCTTGCAAGCCTGAAAGTACATCTCTTCCCACTTTGTCTTTACAGTCCAAAAAAGTAGGGATAGTCCCTTCCAAAATGTTTGCCATGTCTCCCTTGATTCTGCAAACTAAGGTGCCTCTTATCTGACTGTGGCTTTTCCTCCTTTCTTTCAAGGGCATTCTCACAGACCATTGCACAAAGATCCTTAAGGTCCAGGTAGGGCTGCAACTGGCACATTACCCAAAGCTAAGCAAAAGGCCCTGGACACAGTTTCTACCAGTTCATCCAACAATAGCTCCATCCACTTTATATATTTATGTCTCTCTCTCAAGAAAAAGCATAAGTTCAAATACTCTCTTTTCCTAATTTAAAAAAATTTCTTCATAACATCCAAGCTTCTAATTGCTTTTCTTTTCAAGGAGAAAACTCATCTAAGCATTTCAACTTCTGTTTACACTTTGTAAAGAATCCCAAAGAGTCCTTGTTTTTAAATTTCATATCTTCCAATATCCTTTAGCAATGCTTCCAATCAGCCTCCAGTTATAGTTAACAGTGCCAGTGGAAAGATGCCCAAATCTTAATAATTGATACCATAAAGTGCTGATCATCTGGATGTAGATCATTTGAGCTAAGCACTATCTTAAAAACTCAACAACATTTTAATTACTTACTTTGTAGAATATCAGCAAAAGATCATCTAATTTTCCATGTAAATCACCTAGAAAGAAAAACAGTTTTAATGCTGCGTATATGTACAAAGCTTTCAGATGAAGCATATCAGCAGCCAGAATTAGAAAGTATAACTCTCCAATCTTTAAGAAATATGTGAAGGAGAAAATGTAGGTACTCAAGTGTACTTTAATAGGTTTTGCATAGCAAATTAAAAGGGAAAGAACCAACATAAAGAAACTCACTATATGAATATTTCCATGCCAACTCAGAGAGCTAAAAAGGATTTGCCGGAAGTAGGATATTTCATTTATTTCTAATCAGAAAGTTGGCTTTAGTTTCTATAAAAATGATATTCATCTGTCACTAATCAGATTTTGGCCATGGAAGCTATTATTTGGTTGACGAGCTATTATAATCTCTCTCAGATATTCTTATAATAGTGCAAATGAAGACACTGGTTAAAGGAAGTACATATGGATTAGCAAGCACAGGCTTGCTTGCAAGGACAATTGTAATTTCATCCTACTTAAGAGGCTCATATTTTGAGGAAATATAATGTATTTTCTTATGCACTGCAATAACTGACTGGAACATTGAATTATATAAAATATAAATACAGTAGAAGCTTCCTTATTTGGCTTTTGCACTGAGCGGATTAATAGCTGATTTAAAACAATCATGTTGCATGAGTACAATGAATTCAATGTGCTAGCTGTTCCTGTGATTGGGAGATACAATGCTCAGTCTGAGAGTCATAACAAAATAATTATTCTTCTTTGCAGCTGCTGAACCTTCTCAAGCAGACCCAGGGAGTGCCATCAGTTCATCCATAATTTATATCACTGTTCTAACAAAAGAGTATACATGTAGGCTTGAATTGTGGAGTCCTTGGTGCTTTCTGAGTTTGGTTGTTTGGTTGCAGACATTTCATTACCCAACTAGGTAATATATTAATTGTGAATGAGTGGAGAATTTGCTGGAAGTTGCTTGCTCTTCTAATTTTGGTGGTGGTGTGGTTTTCTCCTTACTAATTCTCTGATTGGAGTATTGTTTAGGGTATTGTTTTCTGCTAGATTTTTGCCTGGTATTATTCCCTACTTAGCTGGTTGTTGGCTCCTGGAGAGGATGTGTTCTAGTATTTTTGTTTCCTTCTTAGCTTTTTAATTGTCTTGTTTGAATGCTGTGCAAATATGGTTTATTTCTATATGTCTACTGATAGCTGATTTGTCTAAATGCTAAATTTCTGGCAATTCCCTAGCATTTTTGGATTTGGCTTGGTCTTGGGTGCTCACAATTTCCCCTTTAAATTGTGGTTGAGTCTGTTTGTGGGTTGTGAGATTAAGGATTTTTCATTGTGTCTTCTGACAGCTAGTTGTTTGTATTCTGCTAGTCTTTTGCCTGTCTGTCCTACATAATGGTTGTTACAGTGTTTACACTGTATGTTGTACTGTATATTGTAGGTGAGCCCTGTTTTTTCTATTTGAGGCTTTTGATCTTTTGGTTTACTTAGGTTATTTTAGAGGACTTTGATTGATTTGTGTGCGACAGTAATGCTATATACTTACACTACTGTAACCACATTTTGTAGAATAGAATAGATAGAAATCTTTATTGGCCAAGTGCAATTGGACACACAAGGAATTTGTATTCATGCATATGCTCTCGGTGTACATAAAAGAAAAGATACATTCATCAAAAGTCAAGAATCATAAGGTACAACACTTAATAATAGTCATAGGGTACAATAAGTAATCAAATCATACTAGGAAACAGTCAATATAAATTGTAAGGATACAAGCGACAAAGTTACATTAATACAGTCACAAGTGGGAGGGGATGGGTGATAAGGAGTGATGACAAGATTAATAGTAATAGTAGTGCAGACTTTGTAAATAGTTGGACAGTGTTGAGGGAATTATTTGTTTAGTACAGTGATGGCGTTCGGGGGAAAACTGTCCTTGTGTCTAGTTGTTCTGGTATGTAGTGCTCTATAGTGTCATTTGAGTTGAAACAGTTTATGTCCAGGATGTGAGGGGTCTGTAAATATTTTCACAGCCCTCTTTTTGACTCGTGCAGTACACAGGTCCTCAATGGAAGGCAGGTTGGTGGTAATTGTTTTTTCTGCAGTCCTAATTACTCTCTGAAGTGTGTGTCTGTCCTGTTTGGTTGCAGAACCAAACCAGACAGTTATAGAGGTGCAGATGATAGACCCAATAATTCCTCTGTAGAATTGTATTAGCAGCTCCTTGGGCAGTTTGAGCTTTCTGAGTTGGTGCAGAAAGAATATTCTTCATTGTGCTTTTTGATGACGTTTCTGGTTATATCAATGTAATCAAGGAGTAATGATTAGGAAACTCTTGAATTACGTTTACATATTTACTGATATAATAATATGTATGATAATGAGAAGACAAGGATGGTCTGTGGCTACTAAAGAGTGCTATTTTGACCCAGAAGATCCCAAAGTCTTAATGCATTTTAAAAAATTTAAAGAAGATGAGAGTGGAAAATTTTATACTTTTTCCCCTTTCTACTTTCCCTTCCTTTTAGCTGTATTTTAAAATATAGTTTATAAATTAGAATTCCTACTATTTTGTATATTTTCATCATTTTAATAGCTCCAAAATAAACATTTCTCAATAGGCATTCCTTCTGTTATAACAGGATGACCAGATCTGGGTGGCAAAAGTCTAAAGAATCTTTAGGGGGCAGATAACTAACTCTTTGGTAACATCTAGTGTTCATCTGGAATTTTGCTGGTCAGATTTGGTACCCTTAAAATGGTAATCAGAACCATTTCTTGAAGACTGGAGAAGTTTAGAATTGAAATTAATTGTTTACCACACAAAAGAACATTTTACAGATGGAAAAGCAGCTCTTTTCATAAAAATTTGCCTGGTTGGATCACTGACTCATTCAGTAACATCTGACAGAAAAAAAGTGGGAGGAAGTGTTTGGTTTACTTAAAATATGTTCTGAAGTCTGAATCACCAATCCTTTTTTGGAACGATAAAGAAAATTTGGGACGGATTTATACTAGGAGGAAGGAGCTATCATCTCAAAGTGACAGCTAAAAATGTTGCACAGCCCTCCCAATTCAAGAGATATTTTTGATTCTGTATCACCCTGATACTATGCTTCACTTAAAAAAATGTTGCTAGCTTACCACAGATGGTTACTTCTTTGGCATAAGAAGTTGAGAGATGAGTGATGTTTGGCATTTGTTGAAGGACTTTCCTGGTCTCATGAAACAGCTGAAGCACATATCGAGCATGTAGTTGCTGCAACGTGTCATACATGAAGACAAAAACAGCATGTTATGGCATCCATTCACTAAAGTTAAGTGAGAACGATGTTGTATGTCTGAGAGAAAATTTAACATTTATAGGATATTTAGAGGCCCTGCTTGCTCAAAGAACAAGTAGCCAAGATCTTTAATGCTATTCTAATAAAGATCTCTGAACTTTACTTGGGCAATACTGATTGCAACCAGTGTATTACACTACTCCTTTAAAAAAATGAAGTGCTAAATAGTCTCAGTGTTTTTGTCAAGATATCCAAAGCCCATGATTTGGATTTAGAGCAGGGGTCACCAACCTTTTGGACTTCAGGGACCACAAACTCATAATTTTAAATCCCATGGACCACTAATATGATTTTTTTTTAAAAAAAATACATTTTTTAAATAATGATCGGATAATGATTCCATTTTATTAATATGAAATGCACCTATTTAATATAACAAAATACTTTCATATATTCAATATAAAATTTTTATTTTTTATATTAAATACACACACACACACACACACACATACAGTATATAAATGCTTATTTAATTATAACAAAATCGTAAATGCTTAATAGCTTGAAGAAACACTGCCATCTCTAACTGAACTGAATGAATGCTAGGAACTTTAACACAGGACCTTAGAAGCATTTTGTCCCCTGGAATGTAGGTTTGGCATCTTTGTAATCTATTAAAAATCAAGGATGAATTTGGATAGATGGATTTCAATGTCCGAATATCAAAGATCAATTTTCTTGTTTTTTTAAAAATATTATTGAATAAAGCCCATGTTATAATATGCATGAAATTTCTCCTGTTAGGGTGTCAGTTTGAAAGGTTATAGTTGACCATCTGCATGTGCATGTGACATAACAAAGGCAAGATGTGTGATAGTTTGTAATATTGTTTTACAAGGTATCAAGTGCTAGCACATGGACTATGTCAGAATGGTGTTGCTAGTACAGGGTATCAGGCCAGTCTTCATTAAGCCTCTCTGACTACAATGTTTGAATGCCTCCGATTTCCAGCCATATTGATGCACAGCCTGAGAATTGAATTCAAAAGATCACTTTCCCACTCCTGAGGACACACGGATTCCCCAGGCCACATTTGAAATAACAGAAATGGGAAGGAGGCAAGGGAGAGCGCCCTATACCTTTAGAGGTGGGGTTTTAGATCCGATCTCCTGCTGGAGAGACGGTAGGCTAACTTTACGGGAGAAGGCTTCGGACTAAAGCGCTATGGTTCTGATTATAAGCCTCCCCCTCCTCCACTCTTCTTGTTTGAACGCTGCCACAGGCCAGCTGAGAACCAATTTGGAGGCCAGTAAGCCCCGCCCCTCTCTTGCCTTGGAGAAATCCTCCTCCAGCCTTCAAAATTGGCTTCAAAGGCAGTGAGGAAGGCGCAGGGTGCAGATGCCTGTTGCCAGCTGCATTTGAAAGCCAAGGAATATCACTCCTCTAACCTGGAGAACAAATGCTACTTGCATTTGCACGGCATCAGCATTCTGCCTTCACCATGGTATATTTGTGGCAGCTTGCACCTTCCAGCCACCGCCGCTTTGGCCCACTTGTACCATGCCCCCACCACCACAACAGTACCATTATCTTATTCCGGCTGGCAAGGGCTGCTCACGTGCCACCCCCTACGGCAGAGATTTCCAGCCCCACCATGGGCTGGACCCATATTCCAGAGCTGTAGTAGTCACAGGACCAGTCCTTTGGTCATTCCGAAGCAGCTCCTCTGTAGCAGGCTGGTGCACCCAGGTGGAGGAGCTGCTCCGGGATGACCAAAGGGCCAGTCCTGTGACTACTGCAGCTCTGGAATATGGGACCGACTTTCCCACCAATGTCAGCAAGCCGTCCCAGGGCAGATTTCTCTCTTCTGCCGTTGGTCTTACCTTCCAGTTCCAGCTCACATGGCTCTATTGAAAGTAAGGTTTGCGCTCAGCCAAAGGGTGGGGGGCCAGTGGGTGGGTGGGCCATGTGGGTGGCGCAGCCTTGTGTTCCCATGCAACCTGGATTAATTACTTTGGGGGGGTGCTTTGAGGAGGACAATTCTCTGCAGACCACCAAAATTTTCTCATGGACCACCGGTTGGCGACCACTGATTTAGAGCCAACCAAGGAAATTAAAGAGAATAAAAAATCCAGAAATTATAATGTACCACATTAGAGGTGGGGAACTATGGCTCCTTTATGACTTGTGGACTTCAACTCCCAGAATTCCTGAGCTAGCATGACTGCTTCAGGAATTCTGGGAGTTGAAGTCCACAAGTCATAAAGGGGCCATAGTTCCCTGCTCCTGTACTAGAACTTCCTTTGATTTGACCCTATCTAGGTGTATTTCTTTGAAGACTATCATAAGAGATACCTCATTTTCTCATTCTGTTATTAGCATGATATTTTGTAAAATGAAGCATTCAATTACAGGTAGTCCTTGACTTGTAATAGTTCATTTAGTGACCGTTCAAAGTTACACCACCACTGAAAAAAGTGACATATGACCGCTTTTCACAGTTACGACCTTTTCAGCATCCCTATGATCATGTGTTAAAAATGCAGATGCTTGGCAGCGGCTTCCTACTTACGACTGCTGCTGTGTCCCAGAGTCATGTCATCCCCTTTTGTGACCTTCAGCCAAGCAAAGTCAATGGGGAAGCCAGATTCACTTAACAACCAGGTTATTAACTTAACAACTGCACGGATTCACTTAACAAGTGAGGCAAGAAAGATCATAAAATTGGGCAAAATTCATTTAACAAATGTCTCACAACAACAAAAATCTTGGGCTCCATTGTGGTTGTAGGTTGAGGACTACCTGTATCAAACCATTGGTTTTAACTTACCTGTTGATCTTTGAAAGCCTGAAGAAGTACTTCGGTATCAGCGACAGTGAGAGGAAAACAAAGATGGGGCCCACGATAAGAGGCTGGTACTTCTATTATTCTTTCATACTCTTTCATGGCATGATCTGGGATTGATATGGCATAATCACTGCTACCAGAGAAAAAGTGGGAGCTAATTTCTATAAAAGAAGCAGAAAATACAGCTGATAAATATTTTATCTGTTTAATAATCATGTCCACAGATAATGGCTTGGATGTAGCATTTACTCCTACTCTGAGCAGACTCTCGGCTAAGCCAGACAAAATGGGAGTGGGAGGAAGAGGGGCACCATCTTAACTAAGAACTTCTGCAGCTGTAGGACCGTATTGCTTTCCATTTTGGGCTGAAGAGTGGAACTGCAAAGTTCTCTTTTTCAGTCTTTTAGAAATTCATTGTTTTGCAAGAGCAAATGGCTAGATGTAATTAATGCTGCTTTCAATAAACTATGTTTCTTGTTTTTAACCACTTCATCGTGTGATCTTGGTGATTTTATAGGCAAGTGCTCTCCATGCTAGCCTAGTTAAATACAACTTTTTTCAATTGTAGGTATGATAACAAAGATTCAATGTTCATAGATATAACTATGTATATTCTTTTTTCATGGATAGAATTACAAAAAATATTTGTTTATAGTATGTTCAGAGCTATATATCAATGTTTCTCAACCTTGGCAACTTTAAGATATGTGGGCTTCAACTCTAAGCTTGGGAATTCTGATTGTTGAAGTCCAGCTATACACTACAGTTACCAAGGTTGAGAAGCCTGGCAAAGACTCACAATTGTGCAGTCAGATTTTTCTTTGTTCCCCCTCTATTTTTTTCCTCAAGAGCCCCAATTGTGGAAGCTGCAAAAAGGAGTATCCTCACGATCAACATTTTTTCTTCCACTAGAGAACACCTATTTTTGCTACAGTGCACAAATCTCACAAACTAAACTTCCTAAAACTATAAATATTAGTGAGCCACAATTTCTAGCATCCCTCTATTAGCCTTGTTAGCTGTGACTGGTGGGAGTTGCAGTTCAAATTTTGGTGAGCATGTTCTCTTCTGCATGAGAAATAATAACCAGTTTACATAGAAAAACTAATTAATAATTAAAGAGAAAAATATTTAAAACCAGAATTACAAACATTGCCAAATTTAACTTTTCATAGGAACATTTTCTTAGGAACACACTTTGGCATATTCAAAATATTTTAGCATGAACCTGAAAATAAAATATTTGTTATTTTCTATTTGCTATTGATTCCAAGATTAATGAAGCCTTTATAAGAAGTAGAGTTCTTGATATCAATATTAAAAACAGGTGCTAGTTCTTCTCCTATACTACTGTGGTTATGAACAAACAATTCCTACTTTAATTGACCACTTAATTGGAACAACACATTTGCTTAGCCAATTCTTAGATTTTTACTCTTGGAAAACATTAAAAAGTTTTCATTTGCATGTGTGGATCCTGAAGTGGCTCCGAAGATAGTCACAAAAAAAATTAGTACTGATACCTATAGATTTGTCCATGACTGACTTATCATTTTTCTAAGCAAAATATGCCAGTGCAATTTATTAAAAACAATTTATTTTTCTAAAATCCTCACCTGGGTCTGTCTTATTGGTCTGAATAAAATGGTCCAGCATAAACGTGAAGAATTTGGAGAGCTGAATAAGAAAACATATGTTAGTTGTTAATCAAAACCGCTGGTTTATTGCACATTTACCAGGGATCCACCTACTAAAACAGAGGTGGGGAACTATGTCCCTTTTATGACTTGTGGGCTTCAACTCCCAGAATTCCTGGGCCAGCCATGCTTGTGGTCAGCTGAAATCAAGTTACAAAGGGGACATAGTCCCCCACCCCTATACTAGAATGCTTGACAAAACCGCAAGCCTCATACTTAGTTTTAATGTACCCTTGTACCTTTTCCAGCTCAAAAGAGGTAAGTATAAACAACTCCTATTCTGGGCATTAAATCTACTGTACTTCTGTAGCACCCCTCCCTGTTCCTGATTCATGCATAGAGCAGATGTTATCAGGAGGAAGCAACTCTTGGTCCTTGCACTACAGCATCCCCACCACTTAATTTCCTGTAGCCCTTGGTCTCATTTCAAATACTTCTCCAGGCAGTCATCTCAGATGTATGGCAAGAATACACTGTACGGGTAGTCCTAGACTGACGACCACAAAAGAGCCCAAAATTTCTGTGGCTGTGGCATAATTGTCCCATTTTTCAACCTTTCCTGCCAGTTATTAAGTGAATCACTGCAGTTAAGTTAGTAACATGGTTATTAAGTGAATCTGGCTTCCCCATGAACTTTGCTTGTCAGAAGGTTGCAAAAGGTGATCACATGACCCCAGGACACTGCAACTGTCATAAATATAAGTCAGTTCCCAAGCACCTACATTTTGATCATATGACCATGGGGATGCTGTAATGGTATCAAGTATGAAAAACGGTCATAAGTCAGTTTTTTAAGGGTGTTGTAACTTTGAACAGTCACTAAATGAACTGTTGTAAGTCGAGGGCTATCTGTATTGGCTTGCTTGTTACAAGGGAGGTCAATAGTGTCAGGAAAAAAGGATAAAGCAAAATTCAAGAGATGTTTTTTCCTCTCTGGTCTTTCTCTCTCTTCTTCGTATGCCCCAAAGAAAACTCATGTTGCTGCCAGAGTGTAGAACGAGCAACAATGTAGTGTAGGGGTTAAAGAGCAAGGTTAGAACTAGAGAGATCTAAATACAAGTCTTCACGATAGTCCAGGCACAACACCCAAGTTGTATTTGTAAAGAAAAAAAATGGAGGCGGGAGAAAAGCTACTGTATGTACATGTATGCCAAAAGATAAGTGAGCAAGTCCAAAGACAGTGAATGTGGGGTCATTAAGTGCATCAGTTACGTCAGTGTGGAGAAGGCAATGGGTTGGCTTAGTGATGGAACAGGCCACCCAAGGCCTTCCTGACCCATTGAGATACCTCATGCTCCCCCCTCCCATCCTGCCACGCCGGGCTCACTTATCTCGCAAAGATCTGTCTCCCCTCCGCCTCGGTTTCTTTGCCTTGGTGGGAAAGGAGAGCAGGACAATCTCCTTTCCAGCATCCATTCAGCTTGCAAGTATTTTTTGTGCCGAGGGTGAAAATTTCTGGGGGCCGTGATCTCACACAACTTCAGGCACCCACCTGCTTTTGCAAAGAATGGGCGCCTGAAGTCGTGCAAGATCACAGCCCCCAGAACATTTCACTCCTGCTGTGAAAAGCATTTGCAAGCCAACCAGACTCTGGGAGCAAAATACACAGCAGGATGGGAGGGGGGGAAGCAATTGGGGGGAGCAGCGGGGTGGGTGGGGGGAGAATAGGATGAATGTCTTAGTGTCTCTGTGGTCATTCAAAAGGGCGAATGACTGCCAGGATGCTGCAACATTTGTAATTTCAGAACTGCGTTGTAAACACTTGGGGGTGTTATCGCGTAACTTTGAATGGTCACTAAGTGAACTGTCGTAACTCGAGGATAACCTGTACACACAAAACTAAGAGACACAGGAACTATGGAGAACTTCCTCTAAAACATGGTTTACTTGATTTAACTGTTTGTGGCAAAGAAATGTAGAATACAAACCTGCATCTGTGCTTGTTCATCTGCATATTCAATTGATTGGAAAATAGTCAGGGAATATCGACGCCTCATTTCTAGCCGGGCCATGTAAGACCGATACCATCTTTGAATAAGGATAGCTGCTTTAATAGCTGTCAAAACACAATGTGCCCCCGAAATAAGTTTAATTGGCTACAACTAATTAATTATGTAGATTTTTGGCTCTAGAGTTTTAAAATGAATGAAATTCATGGAGCCCTATATTTCATATTTGTTTCTCTTACATGCTTTCTTGTAAAGTACAGAAGGGTGATCATTAAGGTTATAAATATCACTGCATGTCAAGCACAATGCTAATTTTATTGTAATGTGTAGGGTAATGTTTGAGATCCTGTGACTTTTTGTATCATTGTAAAAAGTAGATACACAGATTGGCAGATAATACTGAATAGCTACATGATTAACACAGAATCTTAAGGCTTTCATTGACCTGACTTTTTGTAAATGAATACTTCTAATTTTTCAAACCTGAAGACATTAGTAACCTAGACCAGTGGTCGCCAATCAGTGGGCTGGGGACCACTGGTGGTCTCTGAGAAAATTTTGGTGGTCCACAGGGAAATTTCACCCCCAACACAAATAATCCAGGCTGTGTGGGAACACAGGGCTGCACTGCCCACATGGCCCGCGGGAACACAAGGGTTGTGTCACTTGCATTGCGAACAACACAAGGTAGTGAGGGGAGGGGGGAAAAGGCAGAGGGGAGGAACTTGCCCCACTCACCCCAGGTGCCTCATCTGGCCACCGGGCTGCTTTTTTCCGCTTCTTTCTTCTTCTGCTTTTGGCTGCATACAAGGAAAGCAGCCAAAGTCTTTCTTTCTCTCCCCCAAACTCCACCAGAAATGAATCTTTGGGACCCTGCAAGGCATCCTGCTCCAAGAGGCTGTGCCGGCATGACAAGTCTCACAAAGACTCATTTCTGGTGGAGTTTGCGGCAGAGAAAGAAAGACTTCTGCTGCTTTCCTTGCATGAAGCCAAAAGTCTCTCTCTCTCTCCCACTGAGAACAGAGCTGGAGACAGTATCCTGCAATCCCAAATAAAGAATGATTGACCGGTAGGAAAACGGGGTGGGGACCTTTCCTGCAAACTTTTTTTGGGATTTTCCCAGGGTCTCTGGTCCGCAGGATTTAAAATTATGAGTTTGGTGGTCCCTGAGGTCCAAAAGGTTGGCGACCCCTGACCTAGACAATGTGTACTATATGTTTTAAAAGGTGCTAACAATTATAGAAATACCTAAATTCACTGTTAAGTATTATTAATTTCAGTCCAAGCAAAACTAAATGTTGCTACTGTGCAGAAAAGAAGTTGTTAAGAGACATACAGATGTTATCATATTGAACAAGTTGTAACCTGCCCTATACTATGACAAACTTGGCAGAGGAATGTGTTGCCCTTGGAGCATTACTCTTATCATTGCTCATAATTTCATTATTCCAATTCTCATTCAAATAGAAATACTGCTTTGTTATTAAGATTATAAATCAAGAGTCAAGGGATCTTATCAATGATGCCCACCAAAGCACTTCCCAAGAGGAATTGCCCATATTCAATATGCCTGAAGGAGCAAAAGGAAAGATTCAGAACTCAGCAGGTATCTAAGGCACCACAAAACTCTCCAAGAATTCATATAAATATCTAGTGTTGAAGGGAAATATTGTGATCACATAGGATATGATCTGAAATATCTATAAGTTAGAGAATGAAATTCTACACTATTTGAATAAGACTCACACCTTGCGTTCACCTCTTCCGATACTTAGTGAGCAGTATGCCTTCCCCTTTATAAAATATATTGATGTCATGATCCTTTTACTTTTCTATCCTTTGATTTTGTTATTTTCTTTGGATATTAAAGCTTTCCTGTCTTATCTGTGCTCAACTCAGATATTTCATTTCTCAGTTGAGATGTTACAATCACTTTCCTTCTAATATACTCTACAAGCCCCACTCTACCATGTGCAGAAGCCACCTGGGATGGAAACCATTAACAAGTTATGGCACAGCCTGTAATTTCATTGGGAGGAATTTTCTGTTTTACTATTCACCTTGAATTTTTATTTATTTATTTGGAATTTATATTGCTGCCTACTTGCACATGACGACTCTAGGTGGCTTACTGGAAATAAAAATACAATATAAAAGAAATAAAAATAATTAATTCATTAAATAAGATTTATTAAATTAAATTAAAACAATATTTCTTCAGAGCTATATGGAAGTGCTATGATTGAAGATATCCAACTAATGAAAGCATTCAAATTAATGTTAGAGTGATAATGGAGATAAAGGATATCAAAGAGAAAATTAATCTTCCTCCCTCCCTCCCTCGCACATTTGGTGTCCACGTGAGTGAACACATGTACATACAATAACTTCCTATAAAGTCCTTATGGAGTAGATCTTCATGCATGCTTTTACTTCATACAAGCAACAGATATCCTTGGAATGGCTAGATCAGGCAATCACACAAAATCCTCATGTGTACTTTTAGCATGAGAAGAGATTCCATTGAAGTCTTCTTTGCTTTTTTCCTCTCCCTTTCCAGTAGCTTTAGAACAGGGCTGTCAAACTCCCAGCCTGCGGGCTGGATGCATCACGCACTGGCCATGCCTACACCTGGTTTAGCAAAGGGGAAAAAAGCCCTGATACGTGACGTGATGCTGCCATGACGATGTGAGTTTGATACCCCTGTTTTAGAGACATCAGTTGTGAATATGGGACCCTTTTTCATTGTATTGATGAATACATTTGCAAAATATTTTCCTTTGGAATAGTGAAGCTATATTATTATAATACATTTATTTTGTTATATGAATAAAACAAACACAATTCCAATATAAAGTATTACAGAATATGAAACTGAATAAAAATTTCAGCGGGTCACTATTTAAAAACTTGCTTTTTATTTTTCTTTGTACGTCTTATTTTCTATTTTTATTATACAGTACTACTATTTTAAAGGGTTTTTTACTGTCATATACTGTTTTTTAGTGCTTGCTGTGTGCTTATTGGAGGATGCAGGATATAAGTTAAGTGTGTTTCAGGAAGTTAATGAGTTTTCACTGCTATTCTTACAGTTACAGTTTTACCAGGTTTGTTTTTGTAACTACTTCTAACTTTATTATACTTTTTTATCTCTACCTCCTTATTACATACCTGAATTCTTAGGAGAAACAGCTAAGCTGTTTAAAATTAATAAGTAATATAAAATACTGAAAAGGCAAATGGAAGAATATAAGATAAATGAGTGCAATACAATTCTATTTGAACCTATTCAAAGGTTTGGCAAAACTTACTCCCAAGGTACAAAGGAACCATGATGAGGAAGACTGATATACAGAATTGAACCTTTAAATAAACTTCAGGACTTCAGGTAAAGGCTCCTGATAAATTCTTGATCTTAATGTGCCTTCCATGCCAATGATTCTCAACCTTCTCTATCTCACATCTCACCAATCACTTTGTACAAATGCTGGATCAAACAATAAGGTATGAAAACAGAGATGGGTCTACCTAGATAGTTATATTTACCCACACACATGCACAAACAGAATATAAAATAAATGACAAAGCACATGCAAATCATACAACAACATTACAACAAGGAACAGTGCAATAGGATTTCTTGTTGCCATAGAATGATTGCATTGCACAAGCAAATTTTACCTTTTTTTGATTTATTTGTTTGGCTTTTTGTACCAGAAGTGCCACATCCCATGACTCAGTAAAATAAAGACTGGATTGGTGGTTTAAATTTTCCTTATTCTGGATGAATTCTTTAGCTGATAGTGATCCAACTGCACCTTTGTATATTAATCACAATATGCTGTAATGAATCAAATCTTTATTTTCCCTAATAAAAAAAGAATGCAATGAACATTGATTTTTCTACTGTCAGCTACTTAGTCACAATAGAACATAATTTACCTGAGTCATCCGTACATCAGTAAAAGTAGGAGGGTTCACTGTTCTGTAGCTATTGTCCTGTGAGCTTAACGAAGATGACTCTCTTTACATCCCAGGATCAGAGTCAGGCAGAGAATTGTCATGCAATTATTGAGGGGGGAAAATTCAATGCAATTATATTGTAGTTCAATACAATTATATACATATGGGCAATGGATTGTTTTCTTAATTATTTGTTTCATCTATCTCCAAAATGAGGCACTTCGATAGGATCACTAATGGGCAAATGTGACCAAGGCACATAAAAGCAGGAGTGGGCAATCTGTAGTCCCAGAGTCATATGGGCCTCTGAGCCCTATTTTTCTACCCTCAGAGACCCTTGACTATATAACTGCTGAAATTTGATGGCAGTTTCCTACCGTTTTTTAATGCAGATATATCACAGTTTTTTTAAAAGCTCCAGAAATGTCAGATATGCCCATATTATTTGCTGATACTATTTGCTATCTGTTTTATAAGCCTCATATCCCCCCCCCCCCAATATTAAGCTTTTCTCACAGCTGGAAAGAAACCCTCACCAATATCAAATTTAGGACTTATAGGCATAGCCTGGCTTCCCTATTGCAGGTTTAGACTAGTAGCAGCAACAGACAACAACATAATTACCCGTGGATCATGGAAGCAATTTCAAAGTTCATTTTTTTGGTCTACTTCTGAAATTCAGTTTCCCTTTGTAATGTTGCCTTGAGAGTTCCTGTCTATTTAGGAGGGCTGCAAAGAGCATTTAGTTGGCTATTTGCAAAGGTAAGGATGTACCTTCAAGTAAATCACTGCTCATCAGTCTCTAGTATTTTTAAAGCTACCTTTAGCACAATATAATAGCACATTGGCTTTCACACTTGTTCTGAAAATAGTGAGTTGCTGCTTTGAGGTTGAATTAAAACATTTTTTAAACAAATATTTTTATTTTAGTTCCTCACTTTTCCTTACATTGTGTTCTTTCACTTCTAAAGCACAAAAACATTTTCCCCACTTCCACGGTCTGCAAAATCACATAAGATCAGCTGTTTCCTTCCCAAAGCTTCTATGTCCCTCAAAAACCTTCATAATAGTTATCTGTCATGTTATATATCTGTACTTATTACATCACAATGTAATTTTTTTAAAAAACAATTCACCTAACAGGGTTTCAGGTCCTATTTTTTTGCTATGCTACCAAAACTTAACAAAAATAACGAAGCAGTTGACCAAATGGATTCAGGAAGAAGAAATTAATAAGCAACTATATGGATTGGAAAACAGTCATCATATATATCATATGTTTACAGCTTCATCTAAAGGTGGTGGTTTGTGCAGTCCAGAACTAAAGAGGCCTTCTGAATTTCTCAGCTCCTAAAGATGGGGAAGTTTTTCTGTGGTAGTCAATAAGCTGCAATAAACAAATCTTGCTAGAACTAATGTGATTGTGATAAGTATTTTTTAAAATTCACTTAATTCAAATGAGAAATATATTCTTGCTCTACTGATGTCAGAATCAAATCGGTACTATCAATTAGAATGACCTGATATATTTAATAAGCTTATTATTGTTCACCTATTAAACCTACTCCTTATATAAAAATCATGACATAGATATAGAAATCTTTTGGTTACAAGAACATCCAGTTCTCCACATTTATCATAAAGCATTAAGAAGAGCTTTATGGACAATAGGAGTTGCTACCTAGCTGTGACTGGCTCTGTCATCTCTTTTGGGAAACTGATTTTTCTCCATGCATATACGGTGCATCATCTAGACCAGGGGTTGCCAACCTTTTGGACCTCAGGGACCACCAAACTCATAATTTTAAATCCCAGGGACCACTAATCGGTTCTGTGGGTGTGGCCTAATTTGTGGGTGTGGCTTGGTGACTGGCTGGCCATGGCTTATATGAAAATATTATAAATATTTATATAAATATTGATTTTTTTTATAAAAAGAACAACTTTTACCCAAAATCAGGCAAAGCAGGCAGGCAGATTGAGGTGGTATTTGCCGGTTCTCCAAACTGGTCAGAACCTGCTGAATACCACCTCTGGTCAGGACATAACCTTAACCCCATTCATTAAGAAAAGTGGAACCAATACCCGTCCATTAAGAAATAAAATCAATTACACATGCCTGACAGGATAAGGAAATGATAATTAAGACCCATCATGAGCCTTTGCAGAAACAAGTAAAACAAATCAAATAATAAAAACACACAAAGCAAGCCTCCAGATTACAAAATGCTGTAAAAAACTGTATAAAAGCCCATGTGAAACCAAACCAATTTGTCAGCTGTCCCAGAATTGCATGCTCTGTGTGTGTGTGTGAGTGAGTGAGTGAGTGTTTGTGTGTGTGTGTGTGTTGGTTGGTTGGTTCTGTTCACCAATAAATGGACTTCCTGTCTTAAGCAGCCTCCATTGGAACTGGACACAGGTTTTTCTTCCAACAAGCGAGTGAGCAAAACTGAAATCATCCCCCCAGTTGGTGGAAAATTTGTCTTCCACAAAATTGGTCTCTGGGGACTGCTGTTCTAGATTAACCGGATCAATCATTTAGTGATCTTTTTGTTGTTCTAGAAATTGCAAAGGAATTTGAGATATTGTTACTTCCTTGTTGTTTCCTATAAGTTCTCCATTGGGAACAATCCTCAATGCACGGAGTTTGAGGAATTCTCATAGACCACATATTCCTGCTCATTCTTCATTCCCAGTTTTGAATGGCCATAGGAATAAAATTGAAATAGCAGTACAGTGTGTCTAGAGTGACTCCATTTTGGTGAGACCCTTTTAGAATACTCCTCTTGAAACAACATATTTATACTATACCCCAAAAATTATTCTAAAACTGACATCAATGTAATCAACATTAAATTCCATTTTTCCTGATTATTATATCAATTTACTTGACAGAAATTAGAGCAACCTGACAACTAGCATCTACAAGTCTTATAAAAATGATCATGATTTTTACAAAAGTCTAATTTGATCTTAACAGTTTTAAGTATACCAACAAATGAGCTTACATGGTAATTCAATGACAGCAAGGCACAGGTAATATCATATGAATCACAATGTAATTTATAAAGGAAGTAAATTATACAAACATGTCATGATTAATATAAACCACATGTTTCATAGCATTTGCACAATGATGCCATGAGTTGTGATTACATTATGATAGGCATGACATCATCATGATTTCTGCTGATTGTGCAACATTTCTATTAATTAAAATCAGTGGGATAGTAAGCATGCTTAAAATCAATTGTTTGTTGACTTTTGAATTTAAATGTACAAAAAAGAAATGTGGTGTATATTACCTTAAAAATAATGCCTAGTTGTCCTTTTAGTCTCAATGAATGATAAGGTTGCTCAGCAACTAAGGATTTCTAGGTCAATCATTACAATGTCATGCTTATGAAATGGCAGCTTTAAATTTTAAATATAATTTAAATTTCAATAAATACATAAATACAATTAATAATTTAAAATTCTCTGTCTCATTCTCTCTCTGGATACTAAAATATTATGCAATGATTTAAAAATAATTTCAGTTGGTTTTAGCTACCTATTTTTAGCTAAACAATTTTTTTCTAATTAATTTTTAGCAAAAAATAATATATATACATATAGAGAGAGAGCTTGGTAGAATTCTTTTACTTGAAGGAATTATATATATACGTTAATATAAGTATTCCCTAAAAACAGTTTATTTGTAAATCAAAATTCAATGAAACTTTCCTAAAACTGAGACTCCATTCCAAATGGATGACCTTCTTAGACAAACAGAAAAAACAATACAAAATTACACATTGCAATACATATACATATATTGCAATTTTAATCAACAAAGGTATTTAGTGGTTTCTGACTGTAACTTTCTGTAATGATTTTGAAATACTTCTTTCTTTCTAGTAATACTTGAGAGCTACATACACATAGGCTGTAGTGAAATATATCAATAGCAGAGGAAGTTGCTTGATTGATAGAGGGTAGAAAATACACTATTTTCAACAGTGAGAAAAAAATTGACATGATACAGGATTAGGCATCATGAATTTAAAAAAAAGGGAGAGGCCAAATTCCATAATTAACAATGTTATGAATTTATTTATTTATTGAGTGGGAAAAGATTTTTGCAGGAAGGAAAGGCCATGATTTTAAGCTATCTAGAAAGAAAGGTAACAGAAGAAATGAATTACTATCCAAGGCAAGAAAAAATATTGAAGCTCAATGTTAAGACACAATTTATAGAATAAATCTGATAAAGTGAATTTTACTTCTAACAAATTGCATATTTAGGACAGTTTTTTGGTACGTGCCAGACAGATGAAAGTAAATTTTATCTTGCCACTGTACCGATTTATTATGTGCCATCAGGTTGTTGTCAACCACAGATTTATATTTTACATAGTGTAGCTTAATAATAAGTCTGATGCAATAGCTCAGGATTGGCTTAGCTTAGTATGGGCTTTCAAAGAATAGTCAAGCATTAACCTCTGTGTTTTTTGTCTCTAACAAACAGGATTTCTTTAAAAATTGAGGCTCATGGGAGATCCCGGAAATGGTTAAAATGATATAATTTACTTTACAAATAAAGTAAGACTACTATGTGTGCAACAGTTCCATTCTTCCTACTGGATATTCCATACTGGATCCACCTCATCTGCAACTATACAATTACCATGAGTTTAGAAATGTGTAAAGATATTCACTATGAAGTTGATTAGAGTTAACATTCTAAGGCAGGGGTCCTCAAAATTTTTAAACAGAGGGCCAATTCATGGTCCCTCAGACTGTTGGGGGGGCAGACCGGCTGGGTGGGTGTGGCTATGTGGTCATGTGGCTGGGTGGGCATGGCCAATTTAGCAGTCTTGCCACTTGCCTAACTTCATTACAACAGAAGCTTCAGGCTCCTTAAAACTCAGGAAACTCAAGTTTTACAGCAATTCTTCTCAGCCCCAAAGAGCTTACAATAAAAGGTCTCTCTCCCTCTCCCTCTCTCTCACTTTCTCTCTCACACTTTCTCTCTCACTCTAGCTCTCTTTCTCTGTCTTTCTCTTTCTCTCTCTACGGGAGTGGGGGGAGAACCCTATAAATGGTGCTGGGTGGTGGGGTGGCGAAGACCAGCTAGTCAGCGGGGAGACGGGGCACCCACAACAATCTGACATCCAGAGATGGACGAGTCACGCACCAATGATCACCTGGCCAGTGGAGAGCCCAAGACCAGCAGGGAGGCTGGGCATCACAACACAGGCGGCATGCAGGCTCTGCAGGAAAAGCAACATCTTTCCTGCAGGCTCTGCAGGAAAAGCAACTCTGCTTAGGCAGGGCGGCTTCTGGAAACACCCTGGAAGGGCCCCAAAGGCACAGTCTACCACATGCTCTCCTCCCTCCCCACTTAGGCAAGTCAGCTTCTATAAACACCTAGGAAGGGCTCCAATGCCACGGTCTCCCACACACTCTCCTCCCTCCCCACTTAAGCAGGGCAGCTTCTGGAAACACCCAGAAGGGCTCCGAGCGCGTGCTCTCCCACGTGCTCCCCTCTCTCCCCATGCGCATCAGTCCACCGGTCGCTGGTATCACCCCTCTGCCAGCTCCCCTCCCCCGCCCACCCACCAGCCCGTGCCCTTCAGCCTTACCTTTGCAAGCAGCGGTGAGCAGGGTTGGGATTCTACCAGTTCGCACCTATTTTCTAGAACCGTTTGTTAACATTCTAAGCAGTTCGGAGAACCGGTTGTTAGAAGAAATTACTGGCCTAATCCTGTAAGGAAGGCAGGAAGGAAACATCCTGGTATTGCTTACAGAAACTGCCTCTCCGTTAACCCTTATTACATTCTTGGCAGGACTAGACTTCCTGTCTCAGGAACTTCTCTGGAGTCTTTTTCCCCTCCTTTGCTGGTACTTTGCTAGTGTGGAGTGACCATTCAAAGTTACAATGTCACTGAAAAAAGTGATTTATGGCTATTTTTCACACTTACGACTGTTGCAGCATCCCCACAGTCATGAGAGGCCAGGCAAGGAGATGCGTGCCTCGATGTGAATGATATTAAGTTGGCCACGCCCAGCCAATAACATGACCACCAAGCCATGTCCACCCAGTCACATGACCACCTAAGCTATGCCCATAGAACCGGTTGTTAAAAATTTGAATCCCACCCCTGGCGGTCAGCAAAAGTATGCAGAAGTGCAGCTGCATTCTGTAAGGTATATATTAGGCCAAGGGCTGTAGGAAGAGCAATGAGAGTGGTGGGCAAAGACAGCCACGTAAGGAGTGGGTGGGAGGTGAGAGGCGGGACTTAATCCCACCACTGCGTGGGCTGGATACATTGTGTCGGTGGAGTTTGTAGGATCCCTTTTCTAAGGGGGCAAAACATAGAATGAGGCTGAATGTCCCAGGTGAAGCTGTTTTTTTTAAGTATCAGAAACATGTAAAACAGCAGGATTTAATCCTATCCTCTAGGCGCCATCTTGACTTTTTTTTACTATGCCTGAGGAGGCTTCTGAAAGCAAGCATAATGAAATTTGAAATAAAAACAAATTAAATGCAAATCTGGAGGTACCTTATTCTGATATTAATATTTTAAAATATCAGCACTAATAATTCAAATTGAATTTTATCTTGAAGCAAGGGGGGAAATGCCACTGATTTTGGGGAGAGATGACTTTACAATTATTGTTTTAATGAATGTCATCTTTTTCCACAGAAAATCTAGAATTAAAATTCAGTGAAGCTTGCTTGCTTTTTAAGAACAGCTTGATGTGTAATTCATGAAAAACCAGCCATTTGCCTTGATAGAATTATTTGAAGGATCCAAAAATCCATTCAATAGTAGTTCACCACATCCTAGGGTGTAGAATGAGAACCAAAATTGTCAGATTTGAAACAAAGAACAGAAAGAGGCAGCACTGTATTGCAAGCCAGATCTCTGAGTAACACAATCAGATGCAACAGAGAAAAAGATCTGTCTTTTAATGGTGGCAAACAAGAGGGCATTTTGGCAGGTGTACTTCCTTTCACAACTTCTATTCTGTGCTATTAGATGCAGCATCTGTTATCATTCCTTCTTCCGCAGAACACACCCATGAAATATACAGCATTCTGTGGACCCAAGTGGGCAGGTAAATCTCTGCATATGCAGCTGAATATATAGGTTAATAGCACCCAGAAATACAAAAAATATCTCAAATTTGGGGTGATTAACAAGTGAATTTTAAGATCCTATTAAAAGTAATAATAATTATCTCTTTCACACCACCAATATAATCTTCTATCAAGATTTCTCTTGATCCAAATCATATCCAGAAACATATTTATTTAGACAAATTCCAGCTGCACTAAGAGAATTAAGACTGGTGTGTCATCATAGTTTGTTGGTCTGTGTATTTATTTTCTCAATATAGGCAGATTTGTTTTGAAAAATAAAACCCATCCACCTCCAGACAAAAGCAAACATTAACAAATAGTTGCCCCCCCCCCCCCCCCCCCCCCAAAAATCACCCAGAAATTACCTGCTTTCTTTCAATGCATCAAGAGGTTTTGTAAACAAATCTTGTTTCCAGGCAGATTGCATGGAATACGGCATGAAATCAATAGACCCTTCAATTGCCTCCTCGGGAGTGTCCCTTTACCCCTTTTGCATTTATATAGATAGATCTCTCGTTCAGATTTTGCATAGTAGAAATGAATAGGTAAACAACTCCTCTCCCTCATCCAGCCTGGGGAAAAAGGCTTATGTACTATAGCTAGGAAAAGCAGCGCAGACAGCCAGGCACACTGATGTACCTCTGTTGTTACCAAGCTTCTTGAATCTCAGAGATAAAGGTCTACTACCTAATAGACTGAAGTATGAGATGAGGATTAATTATGCATTAGCAAAGTAAAGATCAGAGAAAGTGTATTTTTTAGGGGAGAAATAATGCTATCTTTGTTTGATGAAAGTAAGAATAGCAAAGCATCTCAAAACATTTTAGAAGACTAACATACAGATGATGGATAAACATTTGTGAATTGCAGTATACTTAATTAGACGTTTATCTGAGTGCAAATATGCAGAATTTGGGAACAGTGAGGTCAAAGAGAAAATAAACAGGAAATATATTTGGAACCATAGCTTTGTAAAGCTTTAATTCTAGAATGAAAATAATTAGGATTGCTCCAATTTGGTATAGTAATGAGAGAGCTATGAAGTACCCCATTTTGCTGCACCTTTGCCACAATATTGGTTTGCTTCTAAACAGTAACTAGCTTAAATTTAAGTAATTTTAAATCAATAATTTGCTACTTTGCTAATGGCAGAAAGGAAATCTCAAACCTATCCTTGGCAACCATCTGATTATAATGGAGATGATGTTCCTGGGAAGGGAAAGCAATAGAAAAAAGCTGTGTTTGTGGCTTTCGATAACCCTTTTAGAGCATTTTAGAAAGGGACACAAAGTGAACTCTCTAATTAGATGGATAGAAGGCATGTTGGAAACCCCAAAGATATACAAATCCTGAGGTATGTAGGTTGTAATCATGCCAACCATCACCATAAATTATAAACAAGATCCAATTGCTCATTAGCGCAACTCCCAAAATAAAGAGGTTAACTGGGCAAAATGGCCGACTTTGGGTCAATCATGGTCTCTCAGCCCAACTCACCTCACAAGATTGTTGTTATGGGGAAAATAGGAGGAGGAAGGTATATTATGTATGTTTGCATTTCTGTTATATATAACAACAAAGGTGGGTTTAAAAATAATCTAAAATCTTAAAATGAGATTTATCTGTTATCATTCAGACCATTGCATTCTGGGCAACTATAGCTTCTAAAATGATCTTCATGGACTACCTCCTGTGTAACATATTGCAATAGTCCAAATTTATCTTGCTTCCAATATAATTGAAAGAAGCAGCAGATACTATTTTATAAAGTGATGGGAGGAGCACAAAAACAAAAATAGGATTGCAGTGTTGCAATGAGGTCTCAGGACTGATCAGTCAAAATGTAACAAACACATCTTTTCTCAGAGTCATTCCAATTTCTTCCTGTGAGGATAAGAAGTATATTAGTTTCACTGAAAGCTTGTTTATTTCAGTCAGATAGCTAAGCAAATGGAATTCAGTTAATGTGCATAGATTTACTCTTCTCCCCTCCCTTCTACCATATGTTTACTTCAAAGGAGGTTAGAATGAACAAATAACTTTTTGAACCAACTGCTCTGTGTTGAGGTAATTCCCCATTAAGAGAATGAGTGCACACAGGGAGATATAGTGAGAGTGATGTTGAATAACACACAACCAGCACACAGATACACTGAATAGCAAAATGTAGGTTTTACTTCCAGTAAATGGTTAAGCAAAGTCCAACAGCAGTCCAAGTCATACATGGTTAAAGCAGTCAGTATCCAGTCCAGGGATAATCCAAATAACAAAGTCCAGTATCATACATAGTTCAGTAACAGACTCACAGCAATCCAAGAAGAACGACGATCAGCAACAGTCAATAGGGAAAAATGCAGGAACCAAAAACAGCGAACATCAGAACATCTAGCAACTAGCAACTACCAACAACAGAACTAACAACCCAGGTTTCTGGATCCATCTTATGGCCATTTGAGGAACCACATTCAATTACAATTTTTAGAATTCCCTTAAAGAGACAGTATTAAATGTCTATCCTGGTTTATATATTTCCAACCCAACTGTTAGGTGACTATCAATTCCTAACATTCTGCAATTGAGAGATTAGCTATTATATTTATGAATGAGATTAGCTATTATATTTATGAATGTATAAACCTCTTTAGTCAGACAACTAATTAGGGTAGAAAAGCAAAGCTGCAGCTTGTACAACATAATATACAGATCTAAAGCAAAATAAAAACATTTTGTTTTTAGGACATTTTGATTTTTATTCTTTACATAAAGTATATTGTACTTTACTAAACATATTTCTGTGTTGCCACAAGCAAAAAGATTCCCACCAGCTTTTTGTTGAAAATACAATTTAAAACATTTGTTCTAAAAAAGTAAAAATTCAACAGTGCATGCAACAACAACAATAACAAATACAATGACATCAAATTAAGGAAAGCTCTCCACAGTAGCTCATTCTTCGAAGTTTTTGAAAATCAATAGAGCTGGTATTTTCAATACAGGGAGGCTTTTCCATAGCGCTGGCATTACTATAGAAAAAGAGTGATCTTATATCAAGGTCTCAAGAATCTCCCCCAAAGGTGGGTTTTGTAGTGGTTTTTCTCTGATAGGTCTTACCAGTCAGGCCCTATTGATTGGAATAGCAATCATGTAGGTATGTGGTTGCTAAGTCATACTTTATCAGTCAAAAAATAGGACTGCATTTTATTATTACGATTGTGATTTATCACTTATTGCTTGTATGTATACTGGAATGCTTATGGATTGAAGACAAATTCCTTGTGTGTCCAATCACACTTAGCCAATAAAAGAAGTATAATTAAGGCAGCTTAAATCGGATCAATAAACTTATTGGCAACCAATGCAGATTCTGCATAACCTGTGCTTGCGCGCTCAACTCTGAAAGTCTCGAAATATAGAGGCTGCTGATGTAATTTTTGACTAATATTTAAGAATAGCATTGTCTCAGGTAAATTCAGGAACTGCTAGCAACGCTGTGCAGAGTACAGTTGGGGAAAATTAAGATTGCATCAGTCAAATGAAGAAGCCTTTAAAACATAGAATAGGAATACTTACATCAAGCATTCTCACTATACAGGTTCCATAGTGTAGTGGTTATCACGTCTGCTTTACACGCAGAAGGTCCTGGGTTCGAGCCCCAGTGGAACCACCTAACTTTTCTTTTTTTAAGTTCCAAGTACACTTCACTTCTAATTTCTAAACTAATAAACTTCACAATTTACACAAATTCTATTTCTAAACAAGCTAGTAATGCATAACATATTCTCAGCTTCTGCTCTCAGGAAGAGCCGAGGTAATAAAACATAGATGATCTTTGCACCACAACTCGCCGTTTCTGGTGGATGTTTAGGAAGACTGCCGGGTAAAATGTCAGGGTTGAGAAGGCCTGATGGGGGGGGGGGGGACAAGCCCTACATTGAACGGCTGCCCTCTTCCCGCCTTCCTTCCACGGTTTGCCTCTGGTGCAATATGCTAACGTATCTACCAGCTCATCGTTCTCTGCTTATCGCAGAATGGAAGGCGCCGGTGAGGGCGGCTTAAGGCTTGCGCGACCCACGGCACAACTAGACAGCGTCTGTTGACAAACAAGTCAGTTGGACGCGGGCGCTTCTCCCCTCAGCACGCGAGGAAGAAGCTGCAGTTTCGCCACGCGGGAGCGATGAAGGCGACGTCTTCCTCGTGCGCCCGCCCGCCCGCGCGCTCGGGCTCTGCGTCCAGAAAGTGCAAGGCGGGGGAAGTGGCGGGCGGAGCCGCGCACTGCGTCGCCTTCGCGGCTTCTCAATTCGATTCCTCTGAGGAAAGAAGGCGATCCCGCGCGCAGACACGAAAACAGGGCTTTCCGCGAGGAATACAATATTTCAAACGCGGAGGTGGAGGTGGGGAGCCGATTTCTGCAGATCGCTGATGTGTGCTTGACACTGAAAGAGGCTACAATTCTATGGTTTACGGGAGGGAATAGAGACTCCCAGTGGAAGCCTTGGCGCTTTCTTGAGCCTGGTTTGTTTTGCTTCAGGTAGTAGCATCATCAGTGCCATGCTAATGTGCAACGGTGCATTGATGATGTTACCTGGCTGGTGTTGAAAGAAATGTCCACCTGGCTTCAGTTCCAAGTGGGAAGAAAGACACCGGAAACATGAAGACTGCTTGGAAGGATGGTTTAATGGTGGACAGGATCACATGGTTTGAGGTCCTGGGTAGCTGACCACATGGAGTGGAGAGTGAAATGTATTTATATCCTCTCATGGGCTTTGAACTTGTTTCCTGTTCCTGTGAAAGAAATGTATTCTGATTGGTTGTCAGGCTCCCTGGGGCCATGCAGGGGTAACTTTGTAGTTTGTTTTGAGTCCCAGGCTCAGAATCTTGCTGGGTGATGTAATCTTCCCAGGTGCCATGTGGTGAGATGGGTAGAGGGCTAATCCTATCATGTCCTGAGGGCCATGTCTTAATCCCATCACCCTGGAGCTGCTTTCTCTTTAAAAACATGTTTCTCATCCAGGAAAATATATTATTCTGCCTGTTTAATATTTCCTAGAATACTTCATTCTTCTAGGAAAGGAGTGGGTGCTAACTTTCTACAATCCCCCCTTTTTGACAAAATATGTGAGTGGAACACACGTTATTGGCAAAAGACTAAAAATTGACACATCAGGGAGACACAATGGGTGCTTGTAATTTTTCTGATGCAAAGGAGAAGGCATTGATAGAGGCAGCAGAAAAGAATCCCTTCAGTGGCTCCCAAAAGGAGAGCTTTCAACCCATGAAGGTGTAGCAGCCAGGGCAAAAGTTCTGGAAAGAAATTTACAGTATCCAATTTTCTATGCCAATTATTTTCAGAGGTCAGATATCACTTTCCATGAGCTTCCAGTCAGGATTTAAGCAAGCACAAGTCCAAAAATTCTTCACAGCCATGGT